AAATATAAGCAGCTCTGATACCAATTGTTGGAAAATTAATAATAATAATGATAATAATAATCATGATTTTGATTATAACGGTCAAACATAAACGTAATCTCATACTAATAAACATGTTATAAACTGAATGCGAAAACGTACTTGAATTAGTCATAATGATGATGTCTTTGTAGAGCACTATATTGATCTTATGGTCTTCCACTTGAAGAGCACCTGTATTTTCCTCTTGAATTTCTCTCTTGATGAGGATACAAAGAAAGGAACGAGACTGATACTTACGTTGTGTGATCCTAGAAGGGGACCATGACCCCTTAAAATAACCAGAATTAGGTTAATTACTTAAGTTTTAGTATTTCCAATTCGGCCCCTCATCAAATTAGAAATTGCTCAATAGTGTCTACACAATTTTATTTTTATGACATATGCCTTTAATCAAAACTTTAATTTAGTCAAATCATTTTATTATTTGGCTTAATAAATAATGTTCCTAACATATTTAAATTATGTATCATATATATACATGACCCAAATTTTACCAACATTTTTCTTATAATTTAATATAGTATAAACATGGGATATTATCTCAACATCTTATATTTATTTTTATGATTTTCTCATATTAGTCTAAAATATGTTCTTGATAAGTGTTCTTTTATTTTAATTTTTTTTTAGTACCTCTTATTCTTTTTATCCTAGATTCATATAAAAAAAAATTATTGTAACTTTTATTCTACAACTCTAAACCATAAACTAAAAATTACTCAACATTATATTATTTAAGTGATAAAATACATTTTCATCTCTTTTATTTTGTTGGTATCGAGACTTTTAGCAGAAGTTAGGTTATTAAGATTAAGTTAACATGTGGTATAATATGATTTTTTTCTTATATTAATTCAAATTATATTAATATTAATATAATTTATTGATCATTTCCTTCGAATAAAAGTATTAATAATAGTATTATAAATTTATTATTTACTACAATACTTAATTATAGAATTTAAATATTAAATTAATATTTTTTATATAAAATTGACTCTTACAAATTTACAAATTTACAAGACGACTCTACAAATCAAGTATACAGAGATCTCATAAGTTTGAGTAGAATGTCAAGTTTGATATTCTTGATCTCAGCTATAATGAGATTTTTGTTTCTAGTTGCTAAAAGGACTAAATATACACATTATTATTGTTCTTGGTGCTTCACAATCTTGGTCATTATATCAAATTGATATAAAAAATATTTTTCTTTCACAATAATCTCAATAAGAATGTAGCGTCAAACTTTCAAGTGATATGCCTAAAGTTTTTACAAACAGAATTTTCTTTTTATATGAATTAAAATAAGCTCCAACAGAATAATTTGAAAAAATATATTCCATATTATTTAGTTTTTCATTTTATCAAAGTCATGATTCATCACATTTTCTCCCACACATATCTAAAGAAGTCGTGGATACTTCTTATATGAATAACATTATGGTGATTGCTTTTGATCAATAGACTTTTTTAAAACCAATTGTTGCATTCAACTTTTACATAAAAGTCTAGGAACTCTTGTTTGTTTCTTAGGTTTAGAGGTGATTATCAATCCCAAGGAATTTTTTTAAATTAACATAAGTATATTCAAGATTTTGTCCAACTAATTAGTCATACAAATGCTACCTATCTTGACAATGGAACTTAATATTAAATATAAACAAGACTAACGTGTGCTTCTTGATAACTCCATTTTATATTAGATGTAAGTTGAATGTTTAATCTATGAGATTATTACTTGTCTAAATATTTTTTTTATTGTACACAATATTAGTAAGTTAATGAAATCTTCAAGATACTTCCATTTTTCAATAACCAATGAATAATTAAATATCTTTTTGATACCTCTAAGCATTGTCTACTTTTTTAATCATATTGCGATACAGATTGGACAAATTGTTTAAATACAAGAAATATGCTACTAGTTAGTGTATGTTTTTAGAAAATATTTCTATTTCTTGAAAATGTAAAAAATAAGATTCAATTTTAAAGTTATCTATTGAAGTAAAATTCTGTGAAATGTTTGTTGCTTATTCTGAAAAATATGGTTATAAAATCTTTTGACAAAAATTTGATTGTTGTCAAACACAATCTACTTCATGTTGCTAATATTAGTGGTATACATGTAATAATAAATATTATTTTTTTCAGTAATACACATTGAAGTTTGTTATTATTCAATACGAGAAACATATGATCATAATATCATCACTCTATTATGTCTTAACATTGGTTCAAATAGTTGATGTTTCATTAAGACATTAATAATAAATGTCACAAATTTTTACTTGTCAAATTAATACTTGTAGACATACTAACATTAATTATAATTATTAATTTTATTAAAAATATGTTATATATATATATATATATATATATAACAGTTTAATTATTTTAGTGATTGAAAATTTAAATAATAATTTATAATTAAATAGTATTTATACATAAAAAAATTTCAAGAAAAAAATACACTTATTCCATATTTTTCATCTTCCTAATTTAACATTTGTTAACTTCATACATTTTTCTTTCTTTCTTTAGATTTTATTATGACAACACAAAGGCAGTGAATGAGATATTTGTTAAGATATGTGAGAAGATTTTTACAATAATCTTGTATGGAAAGTAAATGCCATGGTTAACCAAAAATAAAAAGTAATATTAAAGAACCTTATATCATTTCTTCAGTGGATGGGTGTTATAACCACATTGGTCTGGTTATAATTATCATCTTCACAATTTAAACAAATTATGTCATTATTATCGGTCTAATTTGAGCATGTAGTATTAAATATTTTAAGTGTGAGTCTAAATTATACATTGAGTAAAAATGAGAAAGTTGAACAACATATAAAGAAGTATCACTATAACTCAATGTTTTAAAATTTTTTATTAAGAATAATATTATTTCCTTATATGAGTTGTACTCATGTCTCATTACCTCTATGAATCTCTCCTCGAAAAATCTAACAATAGTATCAGAGTCGTCAATAATTTATGTGGTATCAAAAGTTTTTCAGACAATATGTCAAGTAAGCATGTCTAATAATGATGAATAACGATACATAAAATACTCATTAATAAACTCAAGGATATATATCAATGTAGAAGAATTTATAATTGAGGAGGAGACGATTGGATAATCCAAACGTGTGACTCTTCTCATCATGGATAAGATTAAAACTTAAAATTAAAAGTGGATAAATTCAAATTTAGAACTAGATAATACTCACGAGTTGATACATGAAGGCTAGATGATAATTTCTCAAAGAAAATAATAACTTATTTTCAATATGAATAAACAAAACTCAGAGAGAAAATCTAAGTATGAAATCTGATATTTATTCAATAATATTCTACTATACATGTTATTAGAAAGAGTAATGCCAGAAAAAATAAAAAATAAAAAATAAAAATCTTGAAGGACTTAAATCTTTCCGATTTTGTTAAAATAAAAATAAAATTTTGAGACTTGTGAATAAAAAGATCTACCTTTGACACCTTAAAACATTTTGGACATTTATTGTTATGTATATGAATTTACTCCACTAGTCATATTATATATTTTAAAAAAAAATTATATGATTAATTTCAAACTTATTTTCTTTGTCTTTTAATATGTTAGTTGTGAACAATAAAATAATTTGTTAACACACATTCAACAAGAGAGACCCGAACTTAAATAGAAGTGTTAGTCTAAAAACTAAATTTGGTAACCTCTAAATATATATATATATATATATATATATATATATATATATATATATATATATATATATATATAAGAGTAATAGAACAGTTATAATAATAAAAACTAAAAATAAAAAACTCCAATTCAACAGTAAATCATAGGTTGAAATTCTTAATATTTTCTCCAGAGAAGAAATTTAAATTCTTAGTAATAAACTATATTGTTTTGAATTGGTTGTGATGAAATATATACTTATCTTCAACTTTTACATAATATTAATTTAACTCATGTTTTTTATTATAGCACTAAATAATATTTTTAAATCGCATTTTTTATTCATCATAATATGAAATATATATGATGGCTAATACGTGTGAAGAATTTTATCAATAGAATATTATTTTTATCACGTTCTTTTAGTCAATTCAAAACTTCATTTAAGCTATATATGTTGAGTGCGACTCATAATAAAGACATTTAGTTTTTTAAATGTTATTTTATTTTCATGTATAAGTACAAGTTATAACCCAAATATTGAATTATACAAATTTGTTTCCTCTCCTTTAAAACTCGCAAATCAAGATAGTATCAGAGAAGGACATACTTATACATGATATTCCCGTTGTCGAGTTTCCTTTAAAGTGTTAAAAGTAGATTCCTATACACATTGTGATGTAAGTGTTTTTTTCATGCCAATGTAAAGCTCACATGTGATTACTGATTAGTTGCATAGTAGATATATTGTTGAAGAGGAACAAAAACCTTATATCATCAATAACTTTCACCATCACAAATTTTCGTTCTTTGATTCCATACAGCAATTTACCCCAACCTTCAACGGCTGCATACTGGAAGAGCAAACACAAGATAGACTTCATTCTCCTACTAAATGAAACAAACCCGAGAAAGAATTCCGTTGATTTAACTTCGCACATTCAAAGAAATAGGATAGAATGGTTACAGATTCAACAATTACCAACATTAACGTAACAAAAACACAATAGAAGGTTTGCAGGAATGTTTTGTCAAGTTCAATAACAAAGTGAATGAAATCTGCAACGAAGAAACATCCTTTGTATATTGATTGCTGACGATATACAAAACAAGTTCCATTTTCACTAAAAGCATTTTGAATCAACACCGCTCATGACATCAGTAGCAAACAAAAAAAAAAAACAGTAAATGAAGATTGAATGGAAACCCAACTTCCCGACAATGGATCAATAAAGTAAAGAAAGCCTGCCCTGACATTTATGAGCAATTTTTAAGATGCATTCTTGACGCGAGTGGCTCCGTCCAGCAGTACTTTTCTTGGATCAAGTGGGATACTCCCAATGTTCAAAAAACTAGAAGACTTGGCAGATCCATTAACTTTGACTTGCATTGAGCCTACTGTGAAAACATCAGGCGGCTCCTTAGTGACACTAATGGAAGATGCTTTTGTCTCCACTTGTTTTGGGGTAATAGTGACTGAACCAATCTTAAACACAGAAGCGATATCTTCTTTCTCAACCGTCCCCTCCGCCTTTTCATATACAGGAGCAGTGTTAGTGATCTCGGAACTACAAACAATATGTCCACTACTTGAACTCTGTTTTAAGTGAGCAAACTCATCATCCATCTGTGAATTCTTCTCAACACTGACTGGAGGGCTGTCAATGACAAAATTCAACTTCCGAGGTGGTTCCAATGAAGGTAATGGATTTTCAAAAAATTTTACAAGCAACTTGGCCTTTTCATCTTGCATGATCTTCTGACGATTTTCATAATACATGAAGTCATCAAGCAAAGATGTCTTCAAACTATGGTTTTTGAATATTTTCAGCATTTCCAAACCTTTACCATACATTATCTGCACAAGAGAAATGGGATCAAAAAATTATTTCAAAAACGCACAGAAAGGGTAACAAATCCAAAACAACACAAATTAAAAATAACAGCTACTCCCAATTTAAAAAAGAATTACAAATAAAAAACGAATTACTTCAATCAAGATGATCATGTACAGAAGTATGCAAAATGACAATCCAATAGCCTCTACACATTCAAGCATGTGTGGGTGGGTATGAATCTACTTACTCAATAATCCTTACTAACAATGTTCAATCAAATTCCTTAATCAGGTAAAAACATACTCAAACATTAATTTAAAATGCTTATAGGTAGTTGGGCAAACTTGTCAATTCTACATTGGTAAAGAAGCTGCTAACAACAATATACCTCTTGTGTGTCTCTGCTATTAGTAACAGGTTTGTTCTCATTGTTCTCTAGTATAATATGCCTAAAATTTGCGTTTGGTACGTCTTTTATCATGTGCCACTTCACAGGGAAGCTCCCACTCCATTTATCTTGCTGCCAAAAGTCCATGTCCTTATTGAAGTCAACAGGACCAACCATCTCTGCAACCCCACAAAATTGACCGCTTGCATTAACCTACATTGTAAGAAAGGAGATGATCATAAGAAGGGAAAAGTACAGCTGCAAACAAGTTTATGTAAGCAGATCAGAAAGAACCGGAATCAAAACTCATTGAATTTTCATATGCAAACTCACAGAAAACAAAAGAAAGATAGGGCAGCCTCCGGATTTTACTGCAGCTATTCTCATAGCATCTTCATAAGCATTCTGCAGCTTCTTGTTTCCATGCGGTGTGGATGACCAAACATTATATTTAATGCTCTTGTGCACATCATCTTCACTGTATGATTTTATGACGAAATACTTTGCATTTTCATTGTTCACAGGGAAATCCTCCCTGTTATATTGATCAGTATAAATGATTATGTTCTCTTGTGTATTGCCATCTCCTCTGTTTGTATAGGCTTTGACAGCCAGCTGGTATTTCGATTTACTATTGCTAATTCTTGGCCCCCGATTTTGCTCACCCAAAACATCAGAACTTCCATTTACATCACTCCATCCTATACCCGTGTGAGCCTTTGGTCGAAATTTGGCAACTGCTGACAGTCCATTAGCATTAGATCCATAATCAGAAAATTCACTACTCAGCGGGGAAGCTATTTTTAATTGATTACGATGGGATAAAACATTTCCATCGGAAATAGTATCTATAGGGTGGGTTAAGGCATCAATGCTTATGGCCTACAAAACCAACGAAAAAAGCAAACATAAGTATCAAGCATATTCAAGAAATTTTAATTTTTCAGCAGCAAATACACTTTCAATAAAGTTCTAAAAACAATAATAAAAACACCAAGGTTAAACATCCCAACAATAATCTATAGAAAAATATAAAATAATATAGGGAGCTAATGGAAACAAATTTATACCAAAAGTTAAAATCAACTTATGTAGAAATTAGAGATGTGATGCTAGAGAACTAATGCAAAAGTAGGGGTTCATAAATTATTTGCAGTTTAAAAAGGAAACTTGATTCATTTTACCCACTTTATTCCTTTTCTTTTCTTTCTTCCAACACCATGTTGAAAAATTATTCAAACGGACTCAGTATCACAAATAGATTCAAAGTACAAAATACCTTCACCATCCACGTCCACAAACTAATCCATATATAGGCATTCCCTCCAAGTAAGTCCTTTTCAAATAAATAGTAACATCTAGGGAGTGAAATTTTTAAATTTATTGTATAATCAGTGCCAATACTTTTCTGGGAATACAGCTAAAATTATAAATATGATGATTCTCACCAAAACAAGTTGAAAGTATAACTGGGCTCACTGGCTTGGAATACTTGAATTCAAATAAAAGAGTAAGATTTCTACCTGATGGTCAACTGGCAAAGGAAAATTTATAAAACCCTTGCTAGAAGCAATGCCACTTGTCACATCTCTCTTTATCCCAGAATTATCTCTTGGCCCTTCCGATATCCTGGCCAAGGAACTTGTGTGCTTTGACAATGATTTTGAAGGGTTCCTACTAAAGGCACCGGAAGCTGAATTGAACTTATGTTTTAAACCTTTTCCATCAGGTCTACTGACAGAAGCACTGGTATTAAACAATGAGTCAACAGAATTATTAGGGAAATTGTCTGGTTGAACAAGAAAAGGAATATAAGCAGGTGAAGAAATAGAGTTTTGATAATTGGGGAGTGCGTAATATTGCTGTGCTCCTCCAAGTGAACCATCAACTCCAATCATTGCACCAGGAATATAAGGATTGTATGGATTGTATGGAGACTGTGCAAATCCATAGCTAGGTGTATAATATACATATGGAAAACTTTCATTTTGTACACCCTGGCAAAGAAACAAACAACAAATCAGCTGTCAACACAACATGTAATACATACAAGTAGAGAAGAACTAGACTTACCGTGTACTGAGTATCAGGACCATCTACACCAAAAATCCTATGGTGGTCCTCCCATTCTCCGGGTGATTCAAATCCTAACCATAATAAATAACTAGTCAATATGATGCATACAAAACATACCATAAACTCAAAAGCTTTTACCTGTACAGTAATACCCATAATTGGTGGAAGAAGGGTAATACAAGTTCTGATCAACAACAAATTCAGGGGCTCCATCATTAAGCATGACTTGAAATTGTTCAAAATTTGGGTTTGTCAGATATGAGTTTAAATTAGTGCCTTCAATCTGAAAGTTCAAGAGTAACAATTCATTGTCATACTAACTCAGAAAAAAACCTCAATACAGAGAACACAATAATGTCAAGTCATCAAAGGGGACATGATATATATCACAAAGATTACAAAAATTCAACAAATTTTTACCAAATAAGCATCTGCATCTCGACTTTCAGAACCATCATACATTTCCATACCAGAACTGCCACCACTGCGAACAGCCATAACAAGTATTAGCAAACAAAAAATCCAAAGAAGCAGAGAAAATGGCATTAGAAAGAAACCAAGGTTATTATTAATTAATGTGCACTCAGCACCAGATTAAATTATTTAAAGCATGCAAAAAAAATCACGATGCACTTATAAATCCAGGATTAATACCCTTAATCACAACCAGCCTGAAACACGAAACAAATGAACTACAAAGAAGTCATAACCAAAATCCTCAAACAAAAAATCTACCACACCACGAAAACAGAAACAAATACACACAAACAACCTTGTGAAAAATGATTCATTAAACCCTGACTCCCTGTTAGTATATTCAGGTTCTTTTGCCTGATAATATACAGAAATGTCATTGTAAACCTTCATACCAAGTCGAGCTCTGAAAAGAAAATCATACCGACTGTTCAAAGTGCCAGTAGTTTAACCTTTGTTAACTCCGAACACACTAAAATATCAGTAAACTGCGCTAAAACACTATTTTTCACTGAATCTGAATATTGCAATACAACACACCCATAGTAGCTCCACTGATAAAAAAATAAAAACTCATCACGACAAACAGATTGAAAAAAAAATATAACTTTCACTATTCAGCGAACTACAAAAGATAAAAATCGAGAATATTACTTAAAAATTTTCTATCAATCTTTCACCCCGACCGAAAAAAAAAACTACTGCAAAAGTGCAATACCTATTAAAGGAAAATCCCAACGCGGTTTGACCTTGAAATCGTGAACCAGCTTAGTAACTTACCTAATAAGCAACCAATTTTGCCAAAAAGACACCCCTTTCCTAAACCTATACAACAAAAAACCCCACTCCCAAACGCGCAATCGAGAACTCACAAAAATAATTAAAAATAAATTAATAAATTGTCCCTACACTTCGCAAAAACACTATTCCCCGCTCGACCTCACACGCGTTCAACAAACAGAACTACGTCACCCGAACAGAAGAACTAACGAATCAATCAACAGACAAAAAGCATAAAGAAAAAGTGTAAACACCTGAAGGGGAAAAGAAGAAGAAGAAATCAGTGCATGGTTGGCACGAAACAGCTTCGTATAACGGAATTGGAGAGGCGAGAGAAGGAATCAGGGCCCTTCTGGATTCCGATAATGCCCCTACGAAACCCTAACCATAACAGGAAGAGAAGAAAGGTTTCGGTGCGTGCAAGAAAGAAAAATAAAAATCAAAGACAGTGAAGAAAAAGAAAAGGAAGAAAGAAAGAAAGAGTGGCTTTGTGAAATGAAATGAACACAGAGAAGTGGTTCGTAGAGATTCCCACCTATGTAAGATATGAAAGTGTTTTGTAATTTCAATTTCATTTTTATTATTATTACAACCTTTTTCTTATGGAGGTTACACATTTACTTTTGCACCTCTGCTTTAAATAATAATCATAATAATATATTATAACAAATAAAGTTTAAAAAAAATATGATTTTATAGTTCAAATTAAGAAAAAAAGTTATATCAAACTAATCAGAATACTAAAATTTTGATCCAACAATATAAGTCAACTCGAATCAAAATTAATATTATTAAGCTCACAATCTCTCTATGTGTTACTGCATCACATATTTTCATTCTCACATCTCCTGTAAATTAAAAAATTATGAGTTATATTTTAATAATTTATTTTACTAAGTCTTTTACAGCTTAAAAAAATGAAAAAATTTATAATTTATTTTGTATTATTTTAAAATACGTGTCATTAATAATATTGATATATTATCTATTTTAAAATTTTAATCCATAAATAAAAAAATGTACTTATAAATTTTTTTTAATCTTTACTCTAAATAATATAAAATTTATAATATATATATATATATATATATATATATAAATTACTATTAAAAGTGATCAATGTTAATTATGTAATTTTCAGTCAATTTTAGGTAATGATATTTGAAGGGTGTTTTACGAAAGATGGACAGTATATTCCTCAATATGTAAATAATTTACACCAATAATATAATTAAAAATACTTTAATATTTTTTAATAATTTTTATGAAGGTTTTATTTGAAAAAGAAAAAGAAAAAACATGTGTTGAAATTGAAATATACGTTATCTGACGTCCTTAAAATAATAATAATTTTGTTACCTGTCACGTACTAGGTAGCGGTCCACCGACAAGATCTCAATGAAGATAATGAATAAATAATTACAGACAAAAGGAAATAAGAATTTTGCGCACTCTATCATATTTTATATATATTTATTCTTAATAATATTTGGATCAGGTCAACCATTTTGTCTTCAAAAATGCAAGCAGCCATTTTCAAATGACATATCAGTAAACAGATTGTTTAATAGGAGAGAATTATAGAAATTATCTTTTATTATATTTTGTAGAATTAAAAAATATAATAAAAATAAGAGAATTATAGTAATTATCATTTATTATATTTTGTAGAATTAAAAAATATAATAAAAATAAGAGAATTATAGAAATTATCATTTATTATATTTTGTAGAATTAAAAAATATAATAAAAATATTGTTTATTTAAAAATAATAGTGTCCCAGTTTTTATATTACTCTTATCTTCGAATGATTTAAGATTATTTTATTTGTTTTGAATATTATATTTGAAAAAATAATTTTAATGTCAGGTTGTAATTAAAGAGTTGATTTTTTTATTAAGGTAAAATAAAGATGTACAACACACCCTACAAATGATACACCAATAATTAACAAAATAATTATGTATTGAACTTTATTTAAAAAAACAAGATACAGTTTTGCACCCGAATTAAATAAATGTGTATTAAAGTACAAAAATATAAAGATTAGTATAATAAATAATAATATTATATTAATTAATATAATTTCATGGAAGATTTTAGAAAATTTATAAAATATGCATAACATAACAAAATCAACTATATCCTCCAATTTAAGTTTCAAATTTTGTAGTATTTTTAAAGTGATATTTTATTTATTCATTTGCTACCCCTAAATTTTAGCCAAATGTAGATGAGAATCTAATTTTTTCAAGTTAAAATAAAAATATTTATTGAAAAAGTACCATATTACTCTTATTAAATAATTTAACATAATAACAAATTAAAAAAATTAGTAAAAACATCATTACTATTTATTTCAAGAAATTTTGATAAATATTTTCAGTAACATTTTTTATCATCTGATCAATCATTAGTTAATGTTAAAAATATAACTATCTGAACAATCATTAGTTAATGTTAAAAATATAACTAACCGAATTCGCAATTCCTAACAATGATAATTTCTAGAAGTGGAAATTTTTTCTCTCATGCTAAACGTCCTAGACTCAACGATATGACATAATCTATATAAAGTATCAAATAAATAAAACTATTTTGTTAATGACATAAAAACTATATATTTACAAAGAGTAAAAAAACAATTAATAGATTAAAAAAAACAAATTTGCAACAATTTAAATAATAATTACAATAATATAAAAACAATATATTTATAGATTCCAAAAACAAACAAAAAAACGATTTTTATAGAAATACTCCCTCTTAGATCTTAATTTGTTCCCGAAAATAATTTACTTTTAAATTAATGGTATTGCATAAAATTATATAATCCAATATTTACAGATATATGTCAATACCATTAAATTAATTTTAAAATGTCAAACTCAAACCCAAATTAGCAAATTTTGAAAGTAACATTTTAATACCGGTTAATTCTAGAGGTTTTTAGTTTATTTATTTATTTATTTTAGAGATAAATTTTAAAAAACCGTTTTTGAAAAGAAGATTAAAAAATTATTTAATAATTTTATTATTTAAACTATTAAATAATTTTAAAAAATATATGATAATAAAAATAATTTATTTAATGTAATTATTAATAAAAATATAAAACTAAAACAAAATATTTGTTATGATATTTAATTTTTAGAAATTAAGAAACAAAATTAACTTTTAAAAACTATTTTAACGAAGCAATTCTGAAACAAAATATTTTTTTTTTGTAGTCATCAAAACAAATATAGAAGAGTACTAACAAGCTCCAAGAGATCCAATTCTTTGACACTATCGTCACAACGCAGAACCAAATGACCACTCAAATCCGAACATTTGTTGTTCGCAGCTCCATCTATGCATGCTGCCTCAATTCTCATGAAACCACGAGATTGTGAAAAAGTCTTCTTGCTCCACTACTCAATTAATACAAATCAACTAACGAATAGCAACAGGTAATTCCAAAACACCAACCCCAAAAAAAAAATGCTGTCCTGTATACAAACATTCCAAATCCCATACTTTCTTGAATGAAATTTCCCATTTACACACAACGTAAGCAAACTGTGGTTATCTGTATTGATTGAAGTAAGAACCGTACCCGGGGAAGGCATTCAGAAAATTAACAACGAGCTCCGACGGCAAAACTAGTCCTTGCATGAGCACATGGTGGTACTTGTCTATCAAGGACGATAATATCGTTTGTTCGTCAATGTCCATTAATTGACCTGCATTTGGATCATAACAGAGGATGGATTAAAAAGGTAAATTTCCCATTTATGATTAAAATGTGAATAAGCAACATAAACTGCAACAGGGATACAAGACAAAAAATAAAGCAGCGTTCAGGTATGGCAACGGGCCCGGTTGGAACAGGTTTAACATTCCTCTCCATGGATCCAATCTAATCTGCCAGTTACTTACTTATACACGTACAATTTAAACAATTTATATATTAAATGACTCATTATATTATATATCAAATAATCCATGAAAAATAAATTTAAAAAATAAAAGTTCAGAATTACATTTCATTTTAGTTAAATTTATATCATTAACTTTATTATTTAATTATTTTATAATTTAAATGACTTAACGACTACAATAATTAACTTATATTTCTGAAGATTATAAAAATTAAACTATAAGAATGATTTTTTAAATATATACATATATAATATCATACATATATATATATATATATATATATATATATATATATTAAAGGAGATAGGTCTTATAACCAAAATGTACTGTGCATATTTTCTTTTCTTTTTATTTTTTATAATACATAATTGTTTTTTAACTATTTTATAAATAAAAAATAATTTTAGCTATAATTATTTTTAAAAATGTTTTTTCAAACATAGGCATACAGTGTAATGACGTATGTATTTCTAATAGTATATAATTTCGTGGTTGTATTCATAATTATATACTCATTCCCGTCCCAATTAAGAAAATTAAATAATCTATACTCGATTAAAACGGCTATTTCTCGTCAAAGATGGAACTGGTCGGGGCGGTAGCCAGTACGGGTTATTTACCAATGAGATTTCTTAACTTGATTAATTTCTGACGTTGATATTCAAGAATAAATTGTTCTTGGCCACTGTGATGCAACCACCTTAAAAATCCAGATTAGTTAAAATGATGCAGTGACCAGTCGTTTTAGAAGTTTCTTTTCTATACGGATGATGCATGTATAAAACAAAAAGCAGATACGCTATTCCCATATGCATATAGAAGAAGAATGGATTACCTATTTCCACCTCCATTTCCTGCTCTTCATCATCCCCTTCTTCTATAGCTGAACCATGTTCCAACGCCTCAGCAGCTTTAGCATACCTACTAAGAAATTCTTCTTCTGTTTCTTCGTATTCCTCGGTCCCAGAATCCTATTCAAACAAACAAACCAAAGAGAACATGTTAATCATATGTACATAAAAGAAATGCATATTTATGTTCTATAAAGCATGAATAACACTAAAAGAAATGAGATACGTGAAGATAAGAGCTAGCAGCAACCATTATCCCGTTGGTTAAAATTTTATGAAAACTAGAAAATGAGTGTCGTTTATTAAAGATGATGTGACACCCAGACAATTTTGTGAATTCTTAAAAATTTCAAGTAGTAACAGAGTGTGATAGAAAAACTATGTTAGTTTAGATAATTGCTAGCATTTTTTTCATGTGAAAGCATTGCAAAAACCAACCTCATCATAATCATCATTGTCACTATCCTCATCCTCGTCACCCTCTTCGTAATTGTCCTCCTCATCATCATGCTCATCTTTCCCATCATGTGCCTCTTTCAATCGTATGGATACCTCCAACAGTGAAGTAAAGCAATTCTGAATTTCATCACCCGACTTTCCTTGTTTGAGAAGTTGCTCAATCAATCGGGCCAATGTTATCACTTAAATTCATTCAGAAAGACAAACAAAAGTTTGTTAAAAACAGTTTCAACTGTTGGACTGTTTTTCTTCGACTCTTAGAACATTAAAACTCCGATAAATAGTAGCCTTCAAACAATATATAATTGTAAATTCAATCATGACCACACACGTACAATGAAGAACCATTCAGTTATTTGTGATTAGTAAGTTTTCCCTTTTCAACTATCATCATTTCGAGTTTTAGCACAAACAACAGAGTGGCATTGTGCTAAATTGCTTAAAACAAGTTTTGAAGGTAAATATGAAGAAAGCATGAAATAATAAAGATAATCAAATAAATAAATAAGTAGCCAGGGCAGATTATTACTTAGAAAAAAGGAAACAAATATTATGCAAATTTAGTAATGGTTGAAAGCAACTATTTACCAATTAACTTCATCTCAGACTCTGCCGTCAGACCAGGCTCAGAAGATCTATTGAATACATGACACAGAGCAGAAGCCCAAAGTGTGATGCCTCCATGTTTACCGTTTTCCAGGATACCTTCTACAATATCAGGATAACACAAATAACATGAAGATATCACAAGCAACAAGGGCTTCAAAAGTGCATCGGGCGTGCTTTGAACTTCTATGATGCGAGAGAAGGCTGTTTGACTAAAAGCAATAGCTAATGACTGCCTTACACCTTCAGTTTCAGGTGAGTAAGTTGGACAATGTAGTAATATATGGACACACGAGCAAGCTCTCAATGTTGCAGAAGGATATTGCTTAATTGCCTCGCAGATGAAAGCCCCAATGCCTTCGACAACTGAGCGTTCAGGGACAGGCGGAGCTGGAGGGGATGGCATATCTTTTACAATAAAGTTGTTCAGCCTATATCTGCTATCTATATTTACAATTTCCTTAATCAAATCAAAAATTGATAAATCCTCTGATTCCTCCCATGCATGCCAGTCTGCAATCATTTCAGCCCAAACTGACACCAGCTCTGATACTTTAAGCTCTTGAATCATGTCATTTCCATCAATAGATAGCAACACAGACAGTAGCAATGTTGACAAATTTTCTATGCATGATGAGGGGGGAGCTTGCTGGTCTTGTTGATCCTTATCAAATTCAGGAAAACATTAAAAAACTTTTAAAAGGACAATATATTGTAAATGATGCAGTATTCATTTCTCACTAAAAATGGAAGTTTGCCATTTTAAATTTAATCCATCATTTATGAAAATGTGTCAAATGTAATCCTTGTCCTTCACAAAAAATCTTCCCTTTTTGATTACTCGTTTATGGAAATAAGGATTATATATGACATTGTCATAACTAAGGACCAAAGAAACAATTTATTTTTAGGAACTAAAAGCATTGCCGTGTTTTAACATAATGTAAAAGACTTGAGGAAAGGAAATTATTTTATAGACAAACAATAAAGCAATGAGCGGGGACTAGTCAACACAAACACTTGGGTATATAAGCAAATAAACACAAGCATAATAATAAAAAAAATCTAAATTAGAAAAAGTGCATGTCGTTAGACAGATTATTATTGTTGTCACTGAAAACATTTGAGGAGATAAAAAAGAAGAAAAATACAATGTGACAAGGTAGATCATCATAAATCAGTGTTTCATTAAACCTAATCAAATTCTCTTTTCTGCTTTTCCTTGGGAACATTAAGTAAAGAAAATCAAAGTCCATTTTAGAGGTAATCAAGCTAACCAGTGTGCATATAGGGGTAAGCCAAGCCTGCTGCAAGAGTGCAGCAAAAGTTCTAGCGATTTTAACTTGATTCATGGTCCATTTTTCACGAGACTCAACCGGCTCAGATTCTTCAGGCCTGGAAGTTTCCCAAGTGTGACCCATAACGGCCAGAGCAGCAATTGCACGTTCAACCACCTATTGTACAAACATACTTCACATATCAAATGGAGTACATTTGTAGCCTAACAACAAAAAATAAAAGCAAGAGCCGCATATGTGCTCATAAAAAATGCAAATGAAACAATTGAGAAAAAAATGCATCATAGCAGATCAAGGCAAACACATCATTATGGACACAACAAATTGTACTCAATGTTATCCTGGAAGTAAATACTATATTGGGTACAACAGATAAAGGTCTGAGTGACTGTATATTTTGCTATAAAAACACTCCACAGCAGACAAATAAGAGTAATATGGATAACCTATAAAAGAAGTATTTTAATATATCAGGCAACAGTGAGTATCTCTTCAATTTCATATAACTTAATTCAGTAATACTTCCAATCCTGAAAACCATTTGGATTCATATCAAGAAATTTAAATAAAACCTTCAAACGAAGTTATGCATATTAAGCATATCCAGATTTCATGTTATTACGTGATTGTAATTGCCAGGTGAAGCAAATAGAAGTGATAGACCAATAAATAAGCGAGAAAGATCAACATACTTGAGGCCAAGGCTCCAGACTGACAGTTAACCATTGTGAGACTGAACCCACTATTGAGGAGACAATATGTGGAATATGAACTGCAACTTTTTTATCTCCAGCTTCCATAATAGAACTGAGTAGCTGAAATAAGATGGAACTCTCGTTCTCACTCTCATCCTGTTCAATGCCACCGACTATTACTTGGAGAAGAGGTAGAAAATCAGGGGGCATGTAGTCATTCTGAAAAAGAAGACAGAAACTGAGTATAGTGAAAGAGAAAAGAGTAAGAACATCCAAATCCAAAACAAATTAGGGAACTAAAAGCTCACATCAAGTAGTGTGGTAATTGCCCCAGCAGCAGAAACCCGCACCGGATAGCAAGAAGGGCCCTGCCTATCTGGCATGACCAATGCCATAAGCAATTGAGAATATACATCAGTACTCATCTCCTGAAAAGACACAAACCAACTTGGGATCAACTATGCGTTGAAGGTATTTTATTAATTACATGAAAGTATATTATTGATAAGCAACTTGAATCTAAATTTGCTTGAGTTATGATAGATTAGTTGATATTAATCTTACTTCTGGTAGGCAGGCGCCTAGTTCTCCAAGTATCCAGTTTGCACTAGCAACAAGGTATGGTAGGGACACAGCTATTGAATACAGTGGCAAAATCCGTGTACGAACAAGGGTTGTTACAAATTCAGGTTCTTGCTCCCTTAAAAACTGTACAATATAGAATTTAAAACTCCTTTTTGAAAATTATCATAGGAAAACTGATGACTGGTTGAAGAAAAAGGAGAAATGTACTCACATCTTGCAGGCCACCATATGCCATAAGAACACCAAAGTAACTGCAATAGTTCAGATGTAAAAAGAAAGTGTAAATTAGGTCATAAAGAAAGGAACTTAGCCTACTTTAGAGCAAGAGCAATGTTCTTTTGAAAAGAGAACAGAAAGGCATTACCAAAGCAAAAAATGTATAAGGTGTCCGTTATAGCTATAAACACAATTGATTCGGTCCATGTTTGATTAAATTAGCTTGATTTGAGAAAATATTTATGTTTTTGGCAGCTTCTTGAGAATGCTTTTGAAAGAAATTATTTCTTCAAAAAACAATTGACATCAAACGTGAACGAAGTTCAGCTATATCACTTTGAAGCCGATTTAAAACAAACGACATACATACCCATAGTGTTCAGTATTCCATATTATGTTAATGTTTTATCATAGGCTGCCATAAACATACTAAAAATTAACAAAGCATGTGAAGCATATGTAATACTCACTCATTCAAGATTTTCTTTTGAGACAATTTGGAATCAGAAGGAATGGGAAACTTGGACAAATATGGAAGCACCAATAACTCCCCCATAGTGCGGCGTTGATTGCTTTTTTTGCTCTTTTGACCTTTTTTACGTTTGGATGAAGCTGAGAAACCGATGGCAGTCTCCATGGGTGGACCCTGTGGACATTAATGAAAGAAATGAATCATTGTAATAACTAAGGGATAGATTAATCAATCTGTATCAAGTAATAACCTTTGACATTGAAATAACACCAAGTAGGTTTACTGCACTTTTTCTGGCTGTGAATAAATCCTCTCTCCATCCACAAATTTCATCCTAATATAAAATTCAGGTCAGATATATCTAAAAATTAAGGTAAAACAAAAGACAAATAGGACAATTTTCATACTATATCTGAAGGAAGATTCTTCCGTATATACTCATCTGGGTCTTCTTCCCACTCTGACACATCCTAAGTATTAACATTTCCATTAGAAAATAACACAAAAAGTGTATGATAAGCATCCTTTCACTAATTTATTCTACTTTCAACATAAACTATCTATGTTACTTTTTTAAAACAAATTCAGACCTTCTCGTTCATTACTAATGCTGGAAATATTGCAGATTCCAATAGAGTTGTAAAATGTGGAGAAACTAATCGCCATCCCTGTATAAAATTAAATTGAAACTCATCAAAGTGAATATTTTGAAGAATATGCTCACTAAAAAATTCCCATTTTGCAGCATTCTAACAATCGAAACTAGAATGCAGAAAACCTACCGGCCCAGTCTCCAGTATATTTGAAATTACATCGAAGCCTAGGGACAGAACCCTCTCTGACAGGAAAGGAAGTTCCTACAAGAGGCACATGACAGTTAAAATTTGGAATGCCCAATATATCACGAAATAAAGCAATAAATATCAAGGTAAGACAAGTCCAGCATCAAGTTAAAGTTAATAAAGATTTGGAAGCAGTTTGGAAAATACAAAGCTGAGCGGACTGGTTTAAGGAAAAGCACTGTTAGGTATTTTAAACTTTTGGCAGACGAAGAATAGAAAACATAACCTTGTTCATGGCAACTAATCAATTATTAAGTACAAGAATTAATGACTATCTTACATTGATATTTTTGCTAAATTTGACCATGTTTAAAACACAGTTTAAAATCGCTGGCATCAACCTGAAAATGCGGGACATATGTTTCAATACATAATACCGAAAATGCTTATATCCAATAAAAAAAAAAAACACTTTATGAACCATATTACTTATCAGAATGTTTCCTGTGTCGGGTTACAAGGGCAGAGAAAATAAGCAGACTTCTTTTTCCAGTCTTCAATCTCATCAAATATTCATCATCTTGATGGACTGCATAATCAAAGCTCAGAGAACTCAAAATTCTCATTAGGTCCTGACAGAATGAAGGAAGTAGAGGAGCCAAAGTCGATGGCATGTAGGACTTCACCTATAAATAAAAATGTCCAGTAAAAAGAAAAGAATATAAAATAAATAGCAGTACCAAAGAAAGTACATAGCATGTGAAGAACAGGGTAAAAAATTAAGTATAAATAAGAGACTTTTCACACTAAGTATTTTTCATCCATAATTTTATCAAATATTAGAGAAATGTGCTTTCAATAAACCACTCTGCAATACTGACAATACTCAGTGAGCAATCAGATTGAGACAAATTAGCATCAGGACTCCACAAATGCCACTTGAATCTGGCAAGCCAAAAACTAACAGCACCAAAGGACAACTTTTAGACGTACAGTAGACTAATCAGAATTTAAGAGGACAGGTATCACAATCCATACAGCCAAAAGATAACTGAAGAATTTTATTTAGATAATAAGATCATTTAATTTCCAGGTTCAGCTCCACCATGATTGAATATTTTCACATTAATGCAGAAAATAACTAATGTATAGACTTTTTTATGTTAATACTTACTGCAAAATGGAGGCATTTGCAAATAGTGAGAAGGACTTTCTCAGTTTCTTTTTCTGCTCTGCCATGGTTTGCTAAAGCCTGATCCAAGAATCATTAAATCACTCAGAAGTGACACTCACACAAGATGGTGAGGAACACAAAGAAGAAGAAAACAACACCTTTTCAACAAATTGATGGAAAAAAGCAAGCAAAGGCACAAGAATATCTTTGGATATAAGCTCCAACTGGGGTGGTACTGGCTCCTTAGCTACTTTAGGATTCAAAAAATACTGCAACATGAAGGAGTGAATCTGAACATAAGTCAAAACAACCAAAGCCAACCATTTATCTTCTCCACTTACAGTTTAACAATTTGAATTTTCATAAGCCCTTCAGCATGCATGACATAAAAAATTAATACAAAATGCAATCCTAAAGTTCAGAGTGAGCTAACCAGGACACAAATGCAAATGAGGAAAAACAAACAGACCACAAAAACTGGGGCAAAAAATCAATTCGAGCAAAGGACATGTAAATTCAATGTTGTACAATGCATTACAAAAATGAGTGACAAGTTGTTTTCCCTCCTCTATACATCAGCTCAAACAGCAGAACAAATTATCAATGACCAGCATTCCTTTAACGCAGAATCACAATATGACAACTTACATTAAACAACAGAAATTTCAAAAATCCATAACTGACATACTCCAAAATTTCAATACCTGGAAAGGTCTGAGAAGTGCATGGAGAACAAGAACTGAATTCAGAGTATTCCATTTAGTATTTGAACCGCTGATAAGATGACTATTTTGAATAGCAAACTGCAAATTAGGTACAAGCTCGGGCCACAAATTCTGCTTGACAAAATCAGCTACCACAATGGCGCGGAACTGCAGAATCACTCATCACTATGATTCAAATATACAAATACATATACATACATAAATATACATAAACATAGATAAGGACAAAACATAATTAATAAGCAATTAAAAAGCGAAAATTACAACATGCATACCACTTCAACCAGAATCTTGAGAACGGGCAATTCGACTTGAAGCAGCGCCTGAATCAGCTGCTCCTTGAACTCTTTGCTCACGTTCGAAGGCTTGTCGCCGGAGCTAGTGACGTTGCGGCGAGTGAGGTTCTTGAGGTAAGTAGCAGCGGCAATTTTCGGGCCTTGATTTCCTTCTCCTATTCGCAAAACATGAAACGAGAATTGTCACGATTGATTTATCTCCGGAACGAGTAGTTGAATACGGAAATGAAATTAGTACCGGTGGAGATGGAGAGGAGGCGGAAAGGAAAAAACGGATTGTTGGAAAGACGATCAAGCAGGTCGGTAGCGGCGCGGACGGCCGCGACGTCGGGGCAGAGGGTGCTGTTGAGCAATTGAGCGATCTGAGTAAGGTCATCCGCCATGGTCAATGCTGCTGAAGGCCTTTCGCATTCGTGAACCGAAACCCTAGTTTTGCACACCCGCTTGCATATTGGCGGGAATGCGTCTGGTCTTTATATGGCAGATTCCGCCTTTTCGAGACCAGAGTCGAATGAAAATATATGTTGTTTAATTTCAAAATGAAAAGAATTTGAAGAAGCGGGGTATCGAACATCGTACGTCTCACTGCTAAGCGTAAGCTGTACCATTTGAGCTGCATCCCCGCTCAAAATGGGTACAAACATTAAATACTTACTTTTTAAAAATTAAGCAAAGTTTGAATAGGCTCTTATGGTAAAATTAAAACAGTAATTTGGAAATGCGGGGGATCGAACCCCGTGCCTCTCGCATGCAAAGCGAGCGCTCTACCATTTGAGCTACATCCCCTTCATGTATTCTTGCTGTTCATAAATATAATAATCTTTTTCGACAATGTGTCAATGATAAATAGTTAGTGTATGTACGTTTTGCAAATGTTCTAAGCCAGCTCTTTAAAAACAGTGGGAATACTTGGATGGACACTACCCTAAAGATGAACATATAATTAGTGATGAGTAAGGTAAATCCCATATTGAATAAAAATAAAAAAAATTAAGCAAAATATAATCCAAAACCTAATACTTTAATATTCTCTTCATTGTATCCGCACGGAAGACCCAACGTATAGCACTGGAAAGAGTATAACCTTTCCACTTTTGGTACTTCTTTCACCTAGCCTTTGTGAAACACCAGTGCCTATCCATCACAAACAATGGTCTCATTAAGACACCCCAATTCATCAGTGTGAAATCCCAACCTCCATCTATCAAAAGGGCTTGTAAAAGGTGGTCCCGGACTATTACATCATCGAATCCAACGGTTATCAGTCATACGCATAATATAGTGTCTTTTTCTCTCATAATGGTACAAGCTTTTGCAGTGTACATAATATAATAATTGAACAACCACGCATTCCGATGGAGCAAGAAGACTATTCACAAATAACCTAGCAAAACCACTTCACTTTTGTTCATGTTTTTCAACATGTGGATCCCATCACCAGCCTGTGTCCAACGTTCAAAAAGCCATTCAAACTTACACGAGAAAATTACGGACATTTGTACACTTTTTCTGTGTAAGAAATCAGCGTTCCAAAGTCAGTATCCTTTTCTCCTTCCTCCAATCCAATCCAAAAACTTCTACCATTGATCTCAAATCTCACTGTTACCTTCCTAGCTTCTAATTTTTAACATGCAGATGAAGCTTTCACCACAACCATTCACCCTCTTCAAACTCCTTGTACTAACATTATTATTACAACTCCAAACCATTCCCACTCTCACACTCTCCCCTTGCAAAACCTCATGTGGCAGCATTCCCATAAACTACCCCTTTGGCCTAGAAGATGGGTGTGGTGCACCACAGTTCAGACATATGCTAAACTGCAGCACTGACTTGTTCTTCCAAACCCCTTCAGGCTCATACAAAGTCCAATCCATTGACTATGAAAAAAACTCTATGGTAATCTACGACCCTGCAATGTCCACTTGCTCCATTCTCCAACCTCACCACGACTTCGAAATGACAGATATTCAATCCGCTATAATCCCCCCATCACAGGACACAGTTTTCGTGCTACTAAACTGCTCCATAGACTCTCCTGTTCTGAACCATTACAAGTATCTCTGCTTCAACTTCGCTGGCCACACGTGTGACGAGCTTTATGGGGCGTGCAATGCCTTCAGGGTCTTTCATTTGTTGACAAACAGCTCCCCACCATGTTGTTTCACCAGTTATAGTACTGTGAAGTTCATGAGCATGAACATATTGGACTGCACGCACTATACAAGCGTGATTAACACGGAAAACTTGAAGGGTGTTGGCCCTTTGGACTGGGTTTATGGGATCAAGCTTTCTTTCAGTGTGCCAGATACTGGATGTGAGAGTTGCAAAAAATCTGGCGGGACATGTGGCTTTGATACTGATACAGAAGGCTTGCTGTGTCTTTGCTCAAGTTTTGCTAATTCAACAAGGGAATGCGGTAAACAAATTTGGAATTTGCATAAAATCGTGTTACTTTGCCATCTGTTTAGTGTCACATTTCTGATAAGTTCCATTGTACAATTTTTGTGTTTCAAATATGATTAACAGAAAATAAAAAATATACCTTCATCAACTATTTTTTTAAACACGTTAATGTAATTTTAATTTTGAGTTAATTGTTGACATATTTTATCTCTAGTTTAAACTGTTCTGTAATTTATTTTGACTTGATGGAAGTTTGAATAAATTTTGCACATGCATATTTTATACTAGTTTTATTTATTTTTTAAATAGAACTAATTTTACACTAACTATGAAGTGTTTGTTTTTGTTTTGCATCTTAGCCCCTGGAAGCATGATATCGAAAGGACAGAGCAATGCTCTTTGGAGACACTACCTACTAGTTTTGCTTGTTCTGGCTTATTTTCAGACGAGGGTGAGACTCGTTTGAGAGCTTTAATTTCAATTGTTTTCCACTTTTTTTTGTAAGAGGGTGAAAGAATTTATGTAGTTTTGTGTTTGTTGATATTCTTCTCTTTGAGACTTCAGATTGAGAAAGTGTGGTTTGAAGTCTCAAGGTTATTCTAAACCCTCCAATGACGCAAAATAATGGCTTACCAAAACAGAAGAAACGTGTAATCTTCATTTTTGTTGTTCACAAGGGAGAAAACATAGTATTTACGATTCATTTCTAAATATTAAAATATAATCAAAATAAAAATTTTGAAATAGAAAAAAACAATACTATAGTATACGTTGTTAGTACAAAACAAAGCAAAAAGATTATAAAAACAATTATTTTATATCAAAGAATATAAATGAGATATTTTTAGTATTAATTTATTAAATAACCAATATTCACTTATTTGTGAGTTGATTTATAACAATATGATTATATATTTTAAATTTTTATATTATCAATGTAAATTGAGAAACATTCATGAAGCTCCTTTCGCACATTAATTACAAATTCAATGTAAGTGCAAGATTATTGCATCACTCCCAATCTTCAATCAAACTCCCAACATTAATTGTTGTTCTCATAGTAAATTTCTACTTATTTTCATCCAGAATCTAATTTACATAAGACGAACTTGATTTATTATCCAAGAGATTTCTCAAATCATGTTGAGAGTGATCTCTTTTATGGTAGAACCCATGTTGAGGATTGTAATACCATCACATAGAACATATCTCCATTGAACAAAGACAAATGATGAAAAGAAATAATTTTATTCAACATTTCGTAAATGTTAAGGAGATGATAAAAAATAATTACAAATTATTATAACTAATTAAAAAGAAACATGTAACTACAATAGAGCATGGCCACTTGGGGACCCTCTAGTTCTTTTCTCACATTGTCCATCCACTTTTATTTCTTTTAATTTTTTTGGCCATGATTCAATATACACCTCACATTTTTAAACAATTCATCAATCTCTAATTTTTCTCTTTATCCCTCTTTTCTTATCACATCATAATGATTATAAAAATTATATTTTTTTTTCTCAGAAGATGTCATTTAGGGCCTTTTCACTTTGTATTAGGTCCTTATAGAATTTTTCTCATCAATCATTATAAAATTTATATTTATTTTTCTCTCAATATGTCATTTAAGTGTTTTTCACTTTTATTTAGGTTCATATATCATTTTTCTATATTTTTCTTTCATGTTAAAAAAAAATGTTATGTAGAGTTGTCAACTCATGAGTGTGGAGTAAGTGTATTAAAAATCAAAAAATATGTGTAAAACCCATATTTGTTTGTTGAAAAGATGAAGGAAAGGGTTGCAACGACTTCACACTCTTTTTTTTTTTAAATAACGGTAAGAGGATACTCATAGTAAGTCCAAGAGAAAAGAAAAAAAAATGAAGGAAACAAAGACTTAAAAAGTGTTTATTTTAAATTTGTATTAGGACACTCAATTAAAGTTCTTCTTATTTTGTTTCAAACCGATCCTGAATTTTATAATCAGTACCCAAACTCTATCCAAAATCTCTCTAATTAATATATAGTCATTTAATTAAGGTCATTATTCTTCTTTATGATAGTCAATTTTCCTTACTTACTATGGTTTTTGTTATAATTCAATCTTATGATTTACAATACTTAAGTTGTATTTATTTTGTTGTAAAAGCCATGATATTTGACTAATCTCATTATTTATTTGTAAAGGTTATAATCTCTTATTTGGATAATACATTAATGCATAATAAGAAATAAGAAATTAGATTATAAATATCTTAATATTTCAGTTTTAACATTTATTTTAAGAAATCTATAAATGATAAATTTGAAATAAGTGATCATGATTCCATACATTATTTTTTTTTGGCATAAAAGTAATTCAATCAATAAATGTAATTTTAAAAAAAAAAAAACAAGAGATGTTTTAAATAGATTTCAAACGAAGGATTGTAATATGGTGAATACATTAGAACGTGACTTAAAGATTTATGAAGATCTTAAAGAAAAAAATAGGTTAATAATACAATTCATAAGAAAATTATTGATAGTTTAATGTATAATAATATAATATTTCTTATAACTATAATCTATAGTTTAATGTATTTGTATAAAGAGATTCTTACATTATTTATAAGAAATTAAAGATTTTGGGTTGATTTATAATAAGAGTGAAAATTCAAATTTATTGATATTTACTAATAATGATTATGTAAACGATTAAGATGATAATTAAAGTACTTATGGTTATGTGTTCATGTTAAGTTAAAAGTGATATTATATTTTTTTATATGATTGACTTATTGTTTCATTTGTAAATATCTCTCAATGTTAACTCAAAGTAGTATCAGAGTCAATGATTTATCTAATAACTAACTTAGTTGAGTATAATTGGAGTGAGTGATGGATCTAATTTTGTGACTCTTGTATCAAGCATATTTATAATAAGGGTTGAGGCAATTAACTCCTTCATTTGAATGATGATGCAAGTAAGAGTTACTACTAATTGTTGTGTCAGTGTGTGATTATCCTCCAAAGTTTCAGTCATGATGATGAATTAATGTGAGAGACTTTGGATGAAGGGAGAATATGTTGTGTCTGTGTGTATGTATCCTCCAAAGTCCCACATCAAGTAGTTTGAAGAAGGGAGTACCAAACTATTACTATAAATAAGGGGTGATAGTTTGGGTTTACTCACCACAACAACATTAGTCTAATGGTGTATTGGGGACTTGGGTTGTTGTGTGTCATAAGAGGGTTTGTAATTTTTCCGTGCAAAAATTGTATGAGAGGGTTTGCAATTTTGTCATTGTAAAAATTGCAAGTTGAGAAAGGAAGAGTTATTGAGTGTGTTGTGGATGTAGGTAAGAAGTGTCGAACCACATTAATTTATGTGTTGTTTTTCTATCTTTGTATCTCTTGTGTGTGTGCTTTCGCATGTGTAGATTTTATTTTCCCTTTTGGTACCCAACAGTGGTATTAGAGCCAAATGTTGATTGGCAGTGAGTTAAAGTCTTTGTATCGAAAGTCTTCCTGACAGAGTTCGAAAGTCTTCATGACAAAGTGGATCAGAGCAGTGTAGTGTTAAATTCAGTCCAAAGAAAAAGAGAAGTAATGTGTCTTAAAAGAAGAGTACATTGCTACGAAGAAGAGAAATAGTGTGTCTTAGAAGAAGAGAAACAGTGTGTCTTAGAAGAAGAGTACATTGCTACGAAGAAGAGAAACAATGTGTCTTAGAAGAAGAGAAACAATATGTATTAGAAGAAGAGAACATTGCTACGAAGAAGATTGTTACGAATAAGAGAAATAATGTGGCTTAAATGAAGAGTACATTGCTTATGTTGTCATGATGATAGATTAATGTGAGAGACTTTGGATGAAGGGAGGATATGTTGTGCGAATGTGTGGGTATCCTCCAAAGTCTCAGTCATGATGATGGATTAATGTCAGAGACTTTGGATGAAGGGAAGATATGTTGTGCTAGTGTGTGAGTATCCTCCAAAGTCTCAGTCATGATGATGGATTAATGTCAAAGACTTTGGATGAAGAAAGAATATGTTGTGTCAGTGTGTAAGTATTCTTCAAAGTCCCACATAAGGTAGTTTGAAGAAGGGAGTGATAGACTATTACTGTAAATAAGGGGTGATAGTTTGAGTTTACTCATCACAACAATACTAGTCTAACGGTGTATTGGGGACTGGGTTGTTGTGTATCATGAGAGGGTTTATAATTTTTCCGTGCAAAAATTGTATGAGAGGGTTTGCAATGTTGTCCTTGTAAAAATTGCAAGTTGAGAAATGAAGAGTTATTAAGTGTGTTGTGGATGTAGGTAAGAAGTGTCAAACCACGTTAATTTCTGTGTTATTTTTCTATCTTTGTGTTCTCTTGTGTGTATGTTTCCGCAAGTGTAGATTTTTTTTCCCTCTAGTACCCAACACTAACTTGAGAATGAGTGTATTGATATGAAAGAAAATCACACTTGAGAAGAAATTGTTAGAATTCAAGTATAAGTTGAAATATCATATTAAATAAATAAAAAGTTAAGTAACATATAAGTGAGATTGATATACAAAATTAATGTCTTAAAGATTTTTTGGTTGAAAAAAATGTTGTATTTTTTATATGATTGTCTCGTGGTATCATTTGTGAATATTTTCTATTGTTAGCCTTCTAAAAAATACCCAACATTATCTTTATTGCACTTACCGTTCAATGATGGAAAAATTTCACTTTTTTTTTGTTATTTGGTACATTTAGAATATATTTCTTATGTTCCAACTCCATTTTGTCGAGAAAAATGTGAATGTCTAAATACACTCAAGAGGGCATAAATTAGATTTTCAAATTTAATCAATTATCAATTTTTTTTTCTCATAATCAAATAAAAAAAACTAGAATAGGATTGAGATCATAAGAATATCAAGACAAGGAAAAGAAAGAAAATAACACAATAGTTTATGTTTGTTCGATTTTTTTTAATTTACATCTATTTTAACTAAACAACCTTAGTTTAGAGTTTTCATTAAAATTTGTTTAGTAATCAGATTACAACTTAACCTGATAATCTTGACTACAATAATCTTTAATCAAAATTTAAACACAAATCACAACACTTAAAAATGTTTCTCTTCACAATTTTCAAGCAGTTCACCTCATATATTCACAAAAAAAAAAATAATACAAAAACGATTTCACCTTAAACTTTTAGAACACTCGCAACTTATAGCAAAATAACATCTTCTTTGAATTGATCTTCAAAGCATTTTACAAAATTACACACTTTTCTTGATCTTCATTATGTTATTTTTAATTGTTTTAATCGTTTTTAACATATGTATTTAATTGAAGAAAGTTTGCATTCTTTTATAAGGTAAAAATTTGTTGTAACTGACTCAGATAATCGATTAGCAGAATATCTAATCGATTATTTGCGTGTAGTGATAGTCTTAAAATAAATCATATAATCAATTAGGTAGCAACATAATCGATCATTAGCGCGTATTATGAAAACATGATTTTAAGTCATATGATCGATTAAATATTTATTTAATCAATTAATACATATTTAGTTTGAACATAATTGATTATTTTTACTTTCTTTATTTTAACAAATATTAGATTATTTGGTTTTATATAAACTACTCACACAACTACCTAGCTATCCTATAAGGACATCATCAAAAGGTCATTTTCAAATAAACTTTCCTCTTCATTAACACATTTATCTGGTGTAAATAAATAATCTACATTTGACTAGAAAAATGTTAGAAATTCAAGTGTGACACATTAAGCGAGAAATGAGAAAGTAATGTATACTTAACAAAAATCCACAAACTTAATATCTTAAGATTATTGATAGAAAGTACTTGTTATATTATTTTATATGATTAACTCATATTTATTAATAATTTTATCAATTCTTAACTTCTTTAGCAAATATTCAATAATAATATTAAAGTCGATTGTCTTAATCGAGTATAAATTAAAATGGGTAACAAAATTTTATATTAGGAAACATTGTGTTAAAATCTTTTTAACAAAAATTAAAATCAACCTTTAAATAAAGTTAATATTAAGATAAGAAACTTTCCCTTAATAAAAAACTGTACCACTATAATAAATCTACCTTTCGGAAGTTTTTATTTGAGACGTAACACTAAATAAATGTTTATGGCAAGTAATCCAACATAACTTTGCTAAAGCACAATGACTCCCTCTACATGTTATAAGTTCAAATTGACACTCATGATTATATAATTGCTTTTGAAATTTGTAGGCCACCTCTTATACGGTGAAAACAATAATAACACGTAACAACACAGTTCAAATGTAAACCCCGCCCATTACGTGTATACAAATTTTTAATTTAAAAATCTATATCAACAGAGTATAATTTTTGTTAACAGGTAATTAGTGCATTTCCATTTTAGGATATTTATGCATCATTTTCTTATGAACTAAAAAACCATTTTCATAAATTATAACCTGATTTGGGGTGGTAAACCATTTTGTGTGTGGTTATGGTTACTATATATATATATATATGCTGATAAATTATTGAGTATTTGTTAACAAAGAAATTAAATAAAATTAAATAAAAAATTATAAGATTATTTTTTTTAAAAATTAAACCTTATAAAAATAGGAAAAACTCATTCTAAATAACAACTCATCGTTAAATAAAAGTTTAAACTCTCATCACACGAGTTAAACTATCACCTAGGATTGCTTTTCTTAGAAGAAAGCATGAGAATAATTCCAAAGGAATAACAAGGTTGCATGACTATATTTTGATAGGAATTCAATAGAGTGTTTTTCAGCAGCAACGAATTACAATTACGTAACTTTGTTACCTCTTTAACGTTAGTTAGTGGCAATAGCGTCCGTTTGAAATTTAAAACGTGTTTGAGGGTGACGTTAGCATAAAGAAATGGTTGAAGGGCACAGCTACAATTTTGGAAACTTGAATTTGAAATGAGGCGGGTCCTTCTGTTTCATTCCGCAGCAGTAAGTAGTAAACAAAGGAGCTCGCTCGCTTAGTAAGAGCTTCACCAAATCAGAATCAGAATCAGATCTAAATGTCGAAGGAAAATCGATCCTCCGTTCGAAGAAACCCTCAAAGCGAAACGAACGAGAACGAATTGGAACCATGGCAGAACCCTATCAACTTTCCACCTCCTCGAACTCCTCTGAACTCCATACCGGACCCTTCTCAATGTCAGGAGCACGAACCTGCTCGCCCCGCTCGGTTAGGGAGCGCCACTCCCAGGCTCTCTGGTAGGACCGGGAAGCCGCACTCCGAACCTAACTCCGCGCAGAGCACGCCGTCTAGAAACGCTTCCAGGGTTTCTCTCGGCGGAGGAAGAGCGAGTGCGTGCGCGTTCCTCAAGGAGACCGAATTTTGCGTCAACGTTCCGCATTTTGAGCTCAAAGACGATCCGTCGTACTGGACGGATCACAACGTGCAGGTGTGTTTTGATTTGAACGAATTCTGGATTGGTTTCCTCGCGTCGTTTTTTGTGCCTGAGGTTGCGTTTTCAGGTTCTGATTAGGATTCGACCATTGAGTAATGTGGAGAAGGTTTCCCAAGGGCATGGTAGGTGTTTGAAGCAGGAAAGCGCGCAAACTTTGGTGTGGCTCGGTCACCCTGAAACCAGATTCACCTTTGATCATATAGGATGCGAGACCTTATCCCAGGTGAGTCTTCACTTTGTCACAAATACAATATAATGTGTACGAAACTGTATGTTGTTTCAAATTTAGAGGGAAGGTTTTTAAGAAGAGGGCTGAATTGGAAATGAATTATTTCATTTGCATAGTATTATTAGTTATGATGCAATGAATATTTCCGATAAGAAGATACAGTTATTGTAAACTGTAGGTAAGTGTAAGATATGTATGGAAATTCATAATATATATATATATATATATATATATATATATATATATATATATATATATATATGTGTGTGTGTGTGTGTGTGTTTCGTCTAGGAACGAGAGTATCCTGACTTTATGTCCATTATGAAACATCGTTAGGGTTAATTCCCACGTTCGAGTTATTGTTCTTTTGGAGCTCTTCTGCATCATAATTTTATCTTTAAAAGGCATCTCGCTAGGTTAAGAGAGGTATATATAAACTACTCATGACTTCGACTCCTAAGTAATATGAGACTCATGAACATATAAGAATAATATATATATATATATATATATATATATATATATATATATATATATATATATATATATATATATATATATATATACAAATTATGAATATACTTCTTGGACATTACGTAACAACAACATAAAAATTATAATCACTGTCATTATAAAACACCTCGCATTGTTCACACAAATAAAAAGAATTCAATTGCATCCTTTTTTGAGATCATTCATGAAAGGAATAGTTTCTTTTTTTAGTTCATCAAAGTAAAATGCCTCTCTATGTTTCTATGTAATACAAGTTTCTAAATATGTCGCATGAGTTATATTAGATTTTTGTATTTTTTGTAAAGGCTTAGATACTTCATAGATACATGTTAGGGATTAGCTAAGAATATTGATGACAAACAATGCATACGTATCTGATATGGACACACGAATCGAATGAATGTATTGTTGCCCTTATTACTTACTCGTTATTGCGATGACCTGGTGTAGGAAAATCTGTTCAGAGTTGCTGGAGTGCCCATGGTGGAGAATTGTTTGTCTGGTTACAACAGTTGTATGTTTGCTTATGGTCAGGTACATGTGACTTGTGGGAATTCAGTGTCTTGTCTTTGCTAAAAGCTGTTACGTATTTCCATGCTTGTTGCTGAAGTTGTGCGTGGCTGATTGTCTGCAGACGGGTAGTGGCAAAACGTATACCATGATGGGCGAGATTAAGGAAACAGAAGGATACCTTACAGATGATAGCGGGATCACGCCAAGAGTTTTTGACTACTTGTTTATGAGGATTAAAGCGGTGTGATATTACAATGCTTGTATTTTCATCTGAATAGACTGCTGTTTCAAATGTTGAATTTTCTTAGGGAATATTTATAATGTAGGAAGAAGAGAGCAGGAAGGATTACAAGCTGAAATATAGTTGCAAGTGTTCCCTTTTGGAGATATACAACGAGCAAATAACTGATCTTCTTGAGCCTTCATCAACCAATCTGCAAGTAATCCACAATTTCTATCTAATATGATTTAAATTGTTGTTAACTTGTTATTGTAAATGCTTGGTATAATGGAGTTTAAAAACTCAATGTTCTCCCTGTAGCTCAGAGAAGATTTGAAGAAGGGGGTATATGTTGAAAACCTTACTGAACATAGCGTGGACACAGTTTATGATGTTCTCAGTCTTTTGTTACAGGTCTTGTGCTCAAATATTTTCATAATTAAATTTACCTTAATATTTTATACTGCATTTGATCATGTCTGATCTAATCTTCTTCTCCTAAACAATTACACAGGGCACTATGAATAGGAAGGTGGCTGCTACTCATATGAACTGCGAAAGTAGTCGGTCTCACAGTGTTTTCACTTGTATTATTGAAAGCCAATGGGAGAAAGATTCTATGACTCACTTTAGGTTTGCCAGGTTAAATTTAGTAGATTTGGCTGGTTCTGAAAGGTAACAATTTTTTTTATCAGAATCTTTATAAACCGGTGCTATTTCTTTTTCTAAACCTGGCTTGACTTGTGCTTTCATCTAGGCAGAAAAGTTCTGGTGCAGATAGTGAACGTTTGAAAGAAGCAGCAAATATAAATAAATCTTTGTCAACACTTGGGTAACTCACTATCACGGACTTGTTTATCAATTTATTTGCTGTTGAAATATTTCAGTTCAATGTTAAAGAACGCTACCATAACAATTTGTTGAGTTCAAATGGCTGACATTTAGTGCTTTGTTAGCTTGGTCATAATGACTTTGGTGGACTTAGCCCATGGGAAGCCTAGGCATGTACCGTACAGAGATTCACGACTTACATTTCTTCTTCAGGTTAGATACACGAAGTTCTAAAATTTAAGATTATTTTTTCAGTAATTTTACATACAATCTAGTACATTACTTTCTGTAGTAATATGGTTGTACTCTCCAAAACTTTATATGCAGGATTCTTTAGGTGGAAATTCAAAGACAATGGTCATAGCGAATGTCAGCCCATCCATTTGGTTTGTATTAATTTGTTGCTTAAATTAAATAATGAACAATGAATGCGCCTTGACGTTTCCTTGTTTTCTTATACCATTAATGTTAATTTTTCTTCCCTTGCAGTTGCGCTAATGAAACACTAAGCACTCTGAAGTTTGCCCAGCGAGCCAAGCTTATTCAAAATAACGTACTCACCTATTTAAATGCCTGCATTCCTTTTAATTTTTAATTTTTTTTTAATTTTTGGGTTTGTATATGAATTACATGTAATATTTTTTTATTAATATAATATGTTAATTAATTGATTTTCTTTCCCTTAAACTAAAAAGGCAAAAGTGAATGAAGATGCTTCTGGTGATGTAAGTGCACTGCAGTGGCAAATTCAACAATTGAAGGTACTTGATTAAATGTTTTAAAATTGTGGGAGGTTTTCAACAAAACTATAGTACATCGTTGGCCTGACTTAGCTGAGGCATGTACTGAACTTGAACAGGGTCAACTGTCCTTTCTGATGAAACATAAATTTTGCCCAACCTCAGTAACAAATTTAGAGGCACATTCTGAAAACTTAAGGTTGATTGAAATGTCAGAAGAATATGACTCTTTGGGAGAAAGAGAAACAGCAGATCACAAGGTACTTGTTCCAAGCAAAGAGGTTAGTTTTATGGCAGTTATGGTGAGGATTTTTTGTAATGTGCTTGTGTCAGATTGTCAAGGTTTATTACATAATAATTATAACAAGATTCACTGAAAGCTATAGCTGTTATATCTGGCAGACCAAATGCATGAAAGCTGCTTTGGTTAGTTCCCTGAGGAGAGAAAAAATGGCAGAAACTACAATCCAGAATTTAAAGGCTGAAATAGACCACACAAATTGTTTGGTAAGTATGCTTTTGACAAAAAAGTTAGCTCCAGGAAAAAATTCCACGTTTAAAACCTGACAATAATTTTGCCATACCAGAAGTCTATACCCAGAAAAAGTCTGCAGGGAATCATGTGAATACACGCAAATGTTTTTTATATCATGAGCTTAAAGTAATATGACTTTTTTGGCAGGTTCGACAAAGGGAAGAGGACTTTCATCATACTTCAAGTATGCTAAGACATTATAAGGAGAAAATCAAACAACTTGAGTTATTGGTAGATGGGAAACTGTCTGCTGAGAAGTATCTCATGGCGGAAAACAGGGCTTTACAGGAGGAGATTCAGTTGCTTAAAGTGAAAATAGATAAAACTTCAGAATTATCCACACTGGCTTTGGAGAATGATAGACTTTTGCAACAACTTCGACTGTAAGCTGAGTGGACAGTTAATATTCTTATGTTTTAATCTTTTCTTGGAGGCCAGTGACTCATTTTGCATCCGTTCTTATTACCAGATCTCAAAACTTATATGAGCATGGAGAACGGGAAAGATTGCTGACGGAACTATCTGAATTGCGTGATCAGGTTGGTTAGATCCCATAGTTTGTCCTTCCCTCTCTTTAAAGGTAAATATCAACTTTCATTTGGGTTGGATTACTGATATTTGGTATTTTTCTTTAATCTGCAGCTTCTTGTCAATCTCCAAGGAAAATTTACATTCTCGATGAAAAATGTAAATCTACTACTTTTAATGCTTATGCATCTTAGTAGTGCAGAGAGTTTCTGTTGTTTTCACTTGGCTTGCTCTTTGATATTTCAGGATACGGATACGGATACTGCACAAGAGTTAGAAGAGTGCCATAATATGAATTCTAAATTGCTTAGGTAGACAGTTGCCTTAAATATCTTCATCTTTATCACCATCATTGTTAATGAGAAACTTGGTATTCTATTCTATATGGGGCTTCTAGTCGGCAAATTCCTTAGTAGTTTATTAATCATTTCATATTGTAGAATTTAGTTTCATCAGGGTCCCCTTGTATGCTAAGTTATAACTTTGATGCTAATTATTGCAGCTGTATTTGATTTACAAGTTTTTATTGTTTGATATCTTGTTAAGTAGAACAAATGAAAAATGCATTTGTTGGGGAGAACATGACACTTGTTGTCTAGATTTATAAAACATGATTTTGTTTCTTCATTTTCTCTGCATAGCAATATTACAGATAGTCTGTAGTGGTGATACTTTTATTGCATCGTAATCCTATAAGCTATTTTGCCAGTAGACCGCCAACAAACTTCTTCATTTCTTCTTCATTTCTTCTTCATTGTTTATGTTGCAGAGAAGTGGGTAAATTACAAGCAGAGCTAGGAAAATATTTGAACTACAATCAAGTTAAGTCTATATGAGAATTTCTTAAGAGAAACTGAAAATGCCTGTGAATACATTGCTGAACCTATGTTCTATCATGTTTAATCTCTTTCCATTCTTGCAGGTTCTTAACACTTCGTTTGAGAATTCTGATGAAATTCTAAAGACAGAAAAATGTTCATTGGTGAGGAAAGAGTAAAATACAAATGCGTTTTTAACTTTTCATTTTAGTCTGGTTTGCTTATGGTAGTGATTTTAACATAAATGCATTTGTGTGCACATTATGGTAGTTTTATATGGTATTGCATCTACTGCATAGTTGGATATTCAATTTGACCAAGATCTATAGCAATTTCATCACTAGAAATTAAGTTAAGAAGCAAAGAAAGCAAGTTTATGCAAGTAGATATATTCAGCTCCCAAGCAATTTTTATCATGTTGAACTAATATCCTAATATCTTAAGCAAAACATTTCTAAATCTGTATTTGAGAAATTTAATGGTTATTAGTTTCACGTATGCTCAACTTTTTAGGGAAACAAATTTCATGATGTGCTTTCATGTTTTATCAGTTCATCATATCAAGTTAAATTTTGCAGGTTGAGACAATATCCATAATAAGTGATTCTGAAGATGAAGTTCCATCCTCTAAATGGGAAGCTGATGCTGTTTTTGAAAAAAATTTTCAAGCAAATGCTTTGGGAGCCTCAGTAATGGCTTCTAAAGACACTGAATATAACAGCAACAATGAGTTAAAGGAAAAATTAGAAAAAATGAGCAAGGATCTTGAAGAAGCGAGGTTACTTAATGACCAATATCAAGAGAAGTGGACAATGCAGTTATCTCAAAAACGGCAGACTGAAACAATCTGCCAAGAAGTTGAGATGGAGACTACCAATACAATTCTTCATTTACAGGAAGAGGTTGCCCATCTTCAATCAGAGTTTGAAGAGAGGTTATGCACCATTGCTCAAGAAAATACAGAGCTAAGAAATATGATTGCAGAAAAAGAAGAGGAAGTCAAGTCACGGTGTTTCGACTGGGAAAAAGCAATATTGGAACTGACAACCTTCCTTCTAGAAGGCTCAAGATCTCTCAAAGACGCCTGTGGTCAGGTAAAAAGCATTTCTTGTTCATTTCCCCAGATTAGCGAGCATGTTGGCATGGCCGTCAAAAAGTATATTGAGAAGGAGGAAACAATTCAGCAGCTACAAAGTAGCTTGGAGGATGCACAGAAGATGGTATTGGACATGGAGCTGAAAATAAGTTCCTTAAGGGAAGCAACTGTAACCTTAAATGCATTTCAACTGATAGACAAGAATGAAGGTAGTGTGGAGGCAATTGAATTACAAGTGTTGTTAAATGAGAAGACCAATATGATAAGGATGCTAGAAAATGAAATAAATCATAAAAACAATCAAATTTGCAAAGCAACTAAACAAGCTGATGCTGCATTCCTTGTAGCAAAATGGCTCTCTGATTGTTATAATGTAGCTCACATGAATGGTGATGTTCAAGATGTTCCCATTCCTGAACTTGACGTGCAAGTCGAACTTGGAAACTGTACTATTTCTGAGAATCAAGATGTCCAAAATAATTTGATACTGAATGATCTTAAGGTTCAAGTGGAATTAATTAAACTCGAGGTACTGGAGATTGAGGATGCTGTAAAAGCGTCTTTTGTTGATACAGAAATACGGATAGAAGCTTTCCGAACTGGTGTCTCAGGACTTACTTCTGCTTACAGAGACTTGATTCAGGACATTGTCAAGGAAACTCGGGATATGAGGAAAGAAATAAGTGATATAAAGATGTATAAGAGAAGTTCTGAGGGTTATAAAGTAGATTTCTTGACATCAAATGTAAATAAATGTCAGGAGTTTGCAGACCAACATCACACACTGCATCAGATAACAGAGCAACTTCTTGAAGTGAATAGAAGATTGAATGTGATAGAGAATTTTATGAACATAGAAGCAGATGTGTCTAGCTTGCAATTAGTTGACGTGGATGAAGATCTCATAAATGCTGATGAATTGAGTGCTGATAGTTCTTCAGCTTCTGATTTATCAACTGAAATTGACAACTTTGCTTATCAACAATTGGTAAATCTAAAATCTGAAAGATCTGTTGTAATTCAATCTGATGATTGCAAATCATCAAATTCCGGAAAACTAGTGGAAAGGCCAATTCTCAATGGAGCAGTGGTGTCCTCTCTGAGTAAAGAATTAAATGACTCATATGATGGCTTTCAAAGACTGTATCTTCGTTTGTCTGCACTCCTTCAAGAATTGGATGATGGATCCTGTTCTTACTTGAAAGGTATCATTTCACTACTTCCATTAAATGTCACGTCTATTTGTTTTTAATCATCTGAAAAGTACCGCGGTAGACTAAATCATGCAATGATGAATGACAGAACTGAAAAAGGAGGGTCCATTTTTCCAGTTGAGCTTGCAGAAAGATGAAGCTGGTAGTGAGAATGACAGAGAGGTATGTTGCATTCCATTTAGTGGCCCAAAATATGAAATAAATGCACTAAGTATTAAATTTACTGCTTGCTTGACAATCATCAAAATGTTTACATTACAAGAAGAAAGGTCCATCGCTTACATTCTTTTAATTTTGTACCTCTACTCAGGTATTGGGTTGTAGGGAGATTAAGCCTGATGATGGCTTTTTCACCAAATTTTTGGAAGCTCATGCAACAGTGAAGGAAGCTGATCTTACACTGCATGCATTGACGAAAGCATATGAACATTCAAAACAGTTGACTGCTATGTGGAAGCAGTCTGGTGAAAACTTGATGATTGAGAGAGCAAGCTTGGAAGAAGAGATTCAAAAACTCAAATCTTCAATTTGTCATAAGGAAGAAGAGAATCAATTACTAAAGGGCAACATCCATTTCAGTTTGGTAGAGATGGAAAATTCAGTTTCTATGCTAGAAGAGCAATTCTTGCAAATGCAAACTGATATGGAGAAGAAATTTTTGACAATGTATTCTGATATTCTTCTGACGGGGCAAGAGATGCTATATTTTATGAGCAATCTGAGGTCCTTGGTAGAAGATATTTGCTCTCAGATGGTGGATGGAGGGTTTGCATCTTTTGTTCTGTACAATTGCTGTGTAACAGAGTTTGTCAGTAAATATGCCTGCACCAGTGTGAACCATGATTTACAATCAGCTAGACAAGGGGAATTGCATAATTTTCCAAAAATTTGTTCTAGTGTTGCAGAGCCTGTAATAAGAACAGGTAATGAAGTTGCAGTGAAAAGAGAGCAATGTGTGTTAACCCAGAAGGTGCATGAACAGCCAGACTTGCCCAATGCCAACATATTATACGAAAATATGGCTCTTAGAAAAGAGTTAGAGAGGAAACAAGTGTTATTAGATGGCTTACTTTTTGACTTTAGGCTTTTGCAGGAATCAGCTTCTAACAGCAAGGACATTAAGGATCAGACTGAGAAGTTAATATTTTCTCTTAGCCAAGTTCGGTACGATCTGGAGATTAAAGCAAGTCAGCTTGATGATATACTGGTTCAAAACATAAAACTTGAAGGTTCTCTTGTTAATACTGAGAAGGCCTTAACTACATCAAAATATGAGCTTAAACTTGCTAAAGAATCAATTGAGAAACTTTCTAACCAAAATGGGGAGTTAAAGGAGCTTCTGAAAGAATTATATGCCAACAAAGCTGAAGCTGAAGAGAAATTGGATGAACATAAAGAGGTGATTAGAGGTTTGGAAAAAGAAATTACTAATTTGACAGCCTCACTGGAAAGCCAATCACTTTCCTTGTTTGAAAGCATTGAGGATGAACTAAACCAGGTGATAATAGAGAGAGACCAACTCCATGAAGAAGTTGGTATCTTGAATGGTAAGCTTGAGATGGCTTATTCCTTGGCTGACGAAAAGGAAGCTATTGCCACGGAAGCACAACAGGTATCTATGTGCTGATTATTCTGTTACTTTCAAATGATTCTTAATTGGTGAAATCACCTTTGGTGGAACTGAAATATCATTTGTAGGAGTCAGAGTCTTGCAAGCTGTTTGCTGAGCAAAAGGAAGAGGAAGTCAAGATTCTGGAACATTCTGTTGAGGAGCTTGAGTCTACCATAAATGTTTTAGAGAAAAAGGTTAGTTTCATGTATGATTCGTTTGCAGACAGATTAAAAAAATGTTTTTGGTAAGCAATTCAAAGTGAAGTTCAGTAGTATTATTAATGTTTAATAGGATAATTGAACTGGTCTTACTAGCTTCTTTCTGACTAGAATGCATTGGTCTTAGGTACATGAAATGGATGAGGAGATGACAAGACATCGTTCTATTAGTGATTCACTAAGAATGGAACTCCAAGCTTTGAAAGACAGATTATTGTTAGTTGCCAAGTTTCCCAAGAATGCTGATTCAGAAAGCACAAGCCTTGAAACTGATGAGCAAATAACATGGTAAGAGCTGCTATCCCTTTCCTTGATATGTGTTATGGTTTAATGTTGATAAACTGTAGATGTAAACATTTTCCATACCATAATCTAATAAATTTGTGGCACATCATTGAAAGAATTTCACTATCATAACTACCTGATTAGTCCATGATGTGGAGAGACAATATTAGCTTATAGTGCAAAATAATTTTCACAAGAAAAGTTGGTCCAAATTATTTTCTGTTTCTGATTTAATTTCTCCATTGTCCATCATATGAAAACACAGTAAAGTACTGGAACTTCATGAGGCACTAAGTAGGATAAGGTTTCTTGAAAAGGAAAATGCGGAACAAGATAAAGAGGTATTTTTCCTAGTCTTCCATGATATTTCATTACAAGAAAATTAAAGTAGTATACATCATACTATGTTGTCCAGAACCCTGACATTTTGTATTTCTTTTGGAAGATTAAAAAGTGCAAAGAGTATATATCCGAAATTGTGTTGCATGCTGAAGCACAAGCATTGCAGTACCAACAGAAGGTACACATAAAAAATAAGTGCATGTTTTATCAGCTAATTTTCTGGGTCACGTTGTATTAAAAGCAAGTTTGGCGAACAATATCCTTATTTGAATGCCAGAAGCTTTGTATCATCTGTTATTCTTACATTCCCATCTCTTCTTGGTTAGTACAAGTGCCTGGAGTCCATGTTCCATGAAGTGAAAACAGAAATGTCAAATTCAACGTCAGCTGTACTAGCATCCGAGAAAAATGAGAAAAGCTCCGTGAGGACAAGGGGTTCGAGCTCACCATTCAGATGCATTTCAAACCTTGTGCAACAGATGAATCAGGAGAAAGATCAAGAACTGTCAGTAGCAAGGCTCCGTGTGGAAGAACTAGAAGCATTTGCAGCTAGCCGGCAAAAGGAGGTGTTTAACCTTAAGCGTTTGGAGAGTACACATCAATATCATTTTCATATTATAATTATAAGGGTTTTAGATGAAACACGACATGAAAGAAAAAAAAAATGAAAATGATGGCCTCAAGAATCTACGTGTAGAATGTTGTTTAATTGTCATCATAATTCTTCCACGCCTTAATTTTTACACGACTAACTCTGTTTTAACAAAGTTTATTATTTGATCCATGGACTAGGATTTCTTTTTTCTTTTCTAAGCAAATTTTGCAAGACTTAGCCAATAGTTAAGCTGTAGGCCATGTATAGAAAGGTATAAGAATAAGGGAACTACTTCATATAGATTTTGTGACAGTGTTAATTACTCAATGCATGGTGGTCTAAATTTTATATTGGATCAGGTATTCATGCTACAAACAAGGCTGGCCGCTACGGAAAACATGACTCATGATGTTATCCGGGACCTTCTTGGTGTAAAATTGGACATTACCGACTATGCAGTAAGTTTCAGATTCATTTATAAATATGTGAGTTGACGGTTGCGATTTCTTATTCCCTTGGGTTTTTGCTTATGGTTTATTATAGAATTTGATAGACGAAAACCAAATTGTGAAATTAGTGGAAGAGGCTCAGCATCATAGAGAAGAGTTCTTAGCAAAGGTACTTAGAGCCAAAATCATGGTGTATAGTATATTTGATCATGTGCTTGTCTTACTTAACTGCTCCTTCTCAATAGGAAAAAGAGAACCTCGATTTAAGACTGCAGATAAATGATCTCGTTGAAGAAAGAGAAAGGTTAGTATGTATACCTTGGAAACTATGTCTTACTAATCTGCTTTCCGTTCGTGATTATACGTTCTAATTAATTGTTTTCAATTTGGAATAGCTCATGATTAAGAAGTTATTTATCGTAATTAAACTATTTAGATTATTCAAAACTGCAAAAGGTTCAAAACTTTCATTTCCATTATTCTCACTACACATAATTTATGACTCAGCTGCATATCGGAACTGAAAACCAAAGAGGCAGATATACTTGCCACTCAGATAGCAATGCAGCAACTGCAAGAACGAGATCAGTTGCTTTGTGCGCAAAATGAAATGTTGAAGGTATGGCAGAACACATAATTGTGATCTATTTTTCCCTATAAGAATTCAAAATCATATTCTAATGGTTTCTTGTAGATGGACAAGACCAATCTCTTGAGGAAGGTTGCAGAATTGGATGACGCAGTGAAAACACTAGTTGGGACACGAAATACCCAACTTGCTCCACAGTCATCAAAGAAAAAGGCATGTCTACTTATCTTTTTATTTTTGCTAGGGTCTAATCAATCCTCACCATTTAACAACGAACCTCTTCTTGATGTGTCATTCATTCATTGATTACAGGACAAGGGCGCTTTAAATACGGGTAACGTTGGATTCAGTAAAAGGTTGTCTCAACCCGAACGACGTCTTTCGCGTCTTAATGACGAACCTGCTCGTTTCCGCAAATTTGCTGGTAATTCACAAGGCTAAACTAAACTAACTGTACAGATTCTCTTCACACGCACATGGTGAGAGAGAGAGAGAGAAGCGCAATTTCAGCAAAGAAAAAAAAATGTTCTCATTTGTGTTAGGAGATTCCCATTAAATGTATTAAGGTGAAATTGTAAATACGATTAGAGACAACCATCTACAAATATACATCGGGGAGCAAATTAAGCTATTATTTGATTTGTATATGTTCAAGTTTTCAGTTGACAGTTCCAGGTTGTCATCTTGGATTTTGTACAATTGTGCCTAGTAATAGTGTGCATCTAGTTTTTTTTTTTTTCTTACCTTGTGCAAAATTTACCATCTTCTCCTTGCCAGACAATAATAACCAAAGAATTGCCGTTTTCTTATTCAGTGTTACATAAAGTAAAAATTTCCTATAAATAGGGCGATGAAATAATTCGTTTATTAATTATTCATTTTCTCCATTCACATATAAGTCAATCTAATTTATATATTATAAAAATAGTTCTGATGAAATCCATCTATTTAATATCATAAATAGATAAGGATATATATATTCTTTCTCGAATTCAGGAAATTCTCCTATTAAATATTAACAGATTAAATGTCTGACCTAATTTTTTTTGCAGTTAAATTTCTCTTAGATTTATCTTTTTAAAAAGTTTACAAATAATATCCTGTCTTAGATTTTTCTTAGATTTATCCTATTCATTTCGTACAGAGCCCCCTTCTTACCCAGAATATATAAACATACTCGGGCATAATGGCGCCATCCCTCGGCTAAAAGCCCACTCAAATTCATATTTCTTATAAGAAGAGCACTCTGAAATAAAATGGTTTCATATGATACATAGGATCCTCTTTCGAGGCAAGTGTAGAGCATACTTGCATCTAAGTGGGGAATGACACTAAGAACTATAAGCTTCAAGCTTTCAGAGAAAGGAAAACTTAGAGAGATAGCATTTTAGAAAGGGAACTTGTATTGATTTCACTTGATTTCATTCTATCTTACAACATTACAAGCATCCCCTATTTATAGAGAGAGCAAACACACGGAATTCAAAGCTTCGCTAAACTAAAATGAAATTCGGACCCGAAACTTATGTTACAAGGTGGAATCCGAAGTAAATTATTCAAACTATGGCCCACACATCATAATGGCCTTACGAAAGATAAAACACCATGATTCACACTTTATTTAAATCACATATCTGGACAAAGTAGAAAAGATAAGATAAGATTCGAAAATGATGTCTTATCTCTTCATGTGAAAGTAAAGTAGATCCAAGCTTATCTTCATTAACACGTTTACGGTAAACGTAATAGATACGTGTAAAGATAAGGGAATCTTGCTTTAGTAGCATGTCATAATGACAGCCATTAACTAAAGCCTTTACTTTAGTCAGATCGGGTGGAGCCTGAGTAGTTCATCTGTTGTGCTTCACTCCTTGTCATACTTCCATGTAATGGGTCCCAGTAAGGATACATCTTTTTATGCATTAACATTTCTTCCATCAGATCTTCGTTGATATTATCTACTAGATCTTCTACTTTCTGGAAGACTTCATCAGGGACGTTCATTTCTGCTCGTGATTTGAAAAATCTTATCTCTTGGGATTTGTCTTCTTCTGGAGTGATTTGGTTCATCTGGTATGTGTCAGATGGTCTCTGGGATGAGCTGGCAATGTTGGGGTCTATTGGCTTATAGGGCTAGGTTCAGACCAGTAGCCCCTAAACCAGATAAAGGAAAGAAGGTAGCCCAACCTTCTTCAAAATCTTCTTTTGATGATCAACCCTCACCAAAAAGGCCAACTTAGCAAGAACCATTTGATCCAATCTTTCAAGATTCCCAAGATCCATACTCGCAATTAACTATAGAATCTTTTCCAACTCCTGCAACTCCAGATACTCCGACAATGAATGAAGAATCCTCTGAGAAATCAGAAACTGAGATCCATGTTTCTGAAGAGTCGGAAACTGAAGTCCTTACTTCTGAATCGGAAACAGAAGTTCCCAGCTATGAGGATCTTACACAGATACTCATGACCAATACCTCCAGATCAGAAGTCCGACATGAGTCAATTTACGACCCTCCAGACGAAGAAGCTGACTCAGGTCCCACAAGGACAAATATGTCATCAAAGACAAATGGTGGTCTCTGGTTCACTATTGATGATATTCCTCCCAGCCAATGGAGAGCCAGATTAATCGAATTTGGTGCATGGTTAGATACCAAATTAGTCAACAATTCTGACTCTTATAAAGTGATTGAGGAGTTCTGCTGTAGAATGACAGGAACACTCAAAGGATGGTATCATAACTTGGGAGTTGTTTGACAGAACCAGTTCCATGAACTGGGCCAAACTTCAGCAGTACTTGGAGCTTTACATGAAGAATTCATAAGTGACGGATCAATCATTGATAAAAAACTCAGACAAGAGTTTTTCGAAATGAGATGCTGCTCAATTAAAATCAAAGACTTGGAGAAACACTACCAGCGAATGAGCAAAAGATTCTACCATCTCAATGGGCTCAACGATCCTAGCTTGAAGAACACATATGTCGCATCTCTTCCTGCTGAGATACAACCAGAACTAAACAGAATGGCCATGTCCATTCAGAAAGACTTCACCACTCTGACAATGGGACAAATTCACCAGATGACTTTAGAAGCCGTTGATAAGCTATGCAGACAGCATGAGTTCTTCTCAGACATTATGACTCAGAAAAGCAAATTTAGCAAAGCTTGTCAGAAACCTTATTTGGAGATCAAATGCAAGAAACCTTGTTCAGGAACCTGCAAGGTGAAGAAAAAGCAAGAAAAACCATTTTTCCGAAAAAAGAAGAAAAAGAATTTAAAATTCTTTAAGAAAAAGAAGTTCAGAGGAAAAACACAAGATCAACGGTGTTTCATTTGCAAGAAAAAGGGACACTTTTCCAAAAACTGTCCCCACAGAGCTGACAGAGCCATCAAGCTCATCTCCACCCTCCAACTTGATGATAAAGACGATATAGAATCTCTGTATTCTGAACAGAGTTCTGCAGACGAAGAAACTGTCTTCGCCCTTAACATCTCCTCTGATGAATCCGAATCAGAATATTCCGAGGAATCTGAAACTGATACTATTCCAGTATTCTCCTTCCAAGAAACTCACCTCATCAATGTCTCTCCTCCTCAACCCTGCTTAGAAGTTCAAATCCTTCCATCCAAATATGACAAATCTATCCAAGCCATAGCCTACATTGATACCGGAGCTCAGAAATCCATGATGGATCCTGATATTCTTCCCAAAGAATTTTGGAAGAAAGAAGCCTCCTATTTCGTAGCAGCTGACGGAAAAGTTTTTAAGACTGAGTTAATTACCAGAACTCCAATCGGAATTAAATTCTTTCCAGAATGTACAGTTTGGAGTAAAGTGATAGGAAACAAGCTTCCCAACAAAGACATTTTGATAGGCATGGACATCTTCTCCATGACGAGCAGATTTCAAATACTTCCTAAAGGAATCAAGTTCAAAAGAGAATTCAAACTTTTTACAGAGATACCAAGACTCTTTTCTCTCTCCGAAGCTCCTCCAGAACTTGAAGAGATAAAACAAAAGTTAGCCTCTCTGTGTGCTAACAGTCATGAAGAATTTTCTCATCCCAAGCCATTATGGAAGAATTCTAATTTCTTTGTACAATTACCCTTCAAGCTCAACGAAGATGTTAATCCAACCAAGGCCACTCACCCAGGAATGTCTCCCTCAGATCTACAGTTAGTAAGACAAGAGTGTCAAGAACTGTTGAAACAAGGCCTGATTGAACCAACCCAATCCAATTGGGCCTGTCAAGCCTTCTATGTAGAAAAGAGGTCTGAAAAACTCAGAGGAAAAAAGAGGTTAGTAATTGACTACAAGCCTCTTAACTGTTTTCTTAAGGATGATAAATTTCCAATACCCAAAGCCTCATCCTTACCCATCTTGATAAAAGAAGCCCATATTTTTTCTAAGTTCGACCTCAAATCCGGATTTTGGCAATTAGGCATTGACCCACCTGATAGATACAAAACTGCTTTTTGCATACCCAATGCCCAATACCAATGGAAAGTAATGCCCTTTGGGCTTAAAACAGCCCCATCACTGTTTCAAAAGGCCATGACAAAAATCTTCGAGCCCATATTAGACAGAACAATTGTCTACATTGATGATATTTTATTGTTCTCACCAAACATGGACTCTCATAAACAATTATTGGATCAATTCTTTGAAATAGCCCATCAACATGGAATAATGCTCTCAGAGAAAAAAATCCACTTGGCCCAAGAAGAAATTGACTTTCTAGGAATGCACTTCAGTCATTGATCTTATCAACCTCAACCACACATTGCTGAAGAACTTCTTAACTTCCCAGATGAAAATCTGACCATCAAGCAGATCCAACAATTTCTCGGGATAGTTAATTATATCAGGGAATTCATCCCTAATGTTGCAAGAAATACAAGTCCTTTGTCCAAGCTCTTAAAGAAGAATCCACCTCCATGGGGATCAGAACAAACCAGAGCCATTAAAGAACTGAAAAAGATAGCTCAAGCTCCTCCTTCTCTGAAGATTCCAGGCAATGGAAAAAGAATATTATAGACTGATGCCAGCGATGAATACTGGGAAGCAGTACTCATTGAAGAAGAAAATGGAAGAAGATACTATTGTGGACATGCAAGTGGACAATTCAAAGATACAGAAAAACATTATCACACCACATTCAAGGAAGCCTTAGCCGTCAAAAATGGCATAAAAAAGTTCGACTTCCATCTTAGAGGATATCACTTTGAGGTTCAGATGGACAACTCTTCATTCTCGAAGATCTTAGAGTTCAAGAACAAGATGCCTCCTAATCCTCAGATTCTCCGGCTAATGGACTGGTTTTCCAGGTATGATTTTACTGTTAAGCATATTAAAGGAAACCTAAACACAGTCCCAGATCTTTTGTCTAGACCCAAAAAGAATGTCTAATTAATAGTTGACACCTATAGTCTTCCTCTTCTCTTTATGGTCAAACCTCTCTCAGACAAAGCCAAAACCGTCAAAGTCTATCCACCTGGTTTAAACCCAACCACACCAGCCGATATTCTCCACTATGCCAGAACAAGATATTTTTACTTTTTACATGAAACCTTCAGATACAAAGTAATTTCAGCCTCATCGTTCAACCCTGATATTCCCTTTGGGGGAATTTTTGAACTATTTTGTGAACCTGGTTGGGATCTTTGTGAGCCTACCCTTTGGACCATTTGGTGCGATACAGTTCAATACTTCATTCCCATTGCACTAAAAACACAAACAGCTTACAATATTTTGACACATCCGTATAAAGACAAATTCCTTTTTTGGACACTACTCGAATGGTTTTCTCCAATACCCTGGTGGAGACAACAGCTTAAGGAGATCATAGACCGTCAAAAGCAGAAAGGAGTTACTGAAGACTCTCTCAAGAATTTGACATCTATCTTCATCATCCACCGTCCATACTTCATGAATCCAGCTGGACACCTTTGGTCAAAAAATGAAGCTTATCTATGGGCTAGCTTTGACACCTATCCACTTGATAGCAGTTACCGTGCACAACTGGCGCATCACCTTTGTGAAATAAATCATTATCAGCCAAAGCCAATAGACCCCAACATTGCCAGCTCATCCCAGAGACCACCTGACACATACCAGATGAACCAAATCACTCCAGAAGAAGACAAATCCCAAGAGATAAGATTTTTCAAATCACGATCAGAAATGAACGTCCCTGATGAAGCCTTCCAGAAAATAGAAGATCTAGTAGATAATATCAACGAAGATCTGATGGAAGAAATGTTAATGCATAAAAAGATGTATCCTTACTGGGACCCATTACATGGAAGTATAACAAGGAGTGAAGCACAACAGATGAACTACTCAGGCTCCACCCGATCTGACTAAAGTAAAGGCTTTAGTTAATGGCTGTCATTATGACATGCTACTAAAGCAAGATTCCCTTATCTTTACACGTATCTATTACGTTTACCGTAAACGTGTTAATGAAGATAAGCTTGGATCTACTTTACTTTCACATGAAGAGATAAGACATCATTTTCGAATCTTATCTTATCTTTTCTACTTTGTCCAGATATGTGATTTAAATAAAGTGTGAATCATGGTGTTTTGTCTTTCGTAAGGCCATTATGATGTGTGGGCCATAGTTTGAATAATTTACTTCGGATTCCACCTTGTAACATAAGTTTCGGGTCCGAATTTCATTTTAGTTTAGCGAAGCTTTGAATTCCGTGTGTTTGCTCTCTCTATAAATAGGGGATGCTTGTAATGTTGTAAGATAGAATGAAATCAATACAAGTTCCCTTTCTAAAATGCTATCTCTCTAAGTTTTCCTTTCTCTGAAAGCTTGAAGCTTATAGTTCTTAGTGTCATTACCGCTCACCCATTAAATTAATTTATAATCAACTAATAGTAAGTTTGAATTTTCGTTTGCGGGTATTAAATGCCTGTTCAACCCTATTTATACAGAAATTTCCTTTTTCGTTTGGCTCATTGATCCGAGTAACATAATAATTTAGTAGAGTCAAGCATGAGTTAAATAAATGAAGAACCAATTAAAATTAGTATAGAACAAGCGATTTGCAATTTCATACAACAAATAATATAAATAAAACGCAATATTATTGCTAACATCCGCATATTCTACAAGTCTATACAATATACTAATATCAACTATCAGACATATACATTCCCCCTTCCTTTTTCTGAAATTTCTTCTATCTTTCAAATTATCTGAACTTCCATATAAGCTAGAAAATGTGTTAGATGCTATTTACATAGAAGTATACCTGTTAATTTTTATTATAAACAAGAAGTGCTATCAGTATTCCTCTTTTGCTTCCTTCAACCGACATGCTGTGATTGACTGCTTCCACCATCATCAATCTGTTCAATTGTATGCCAAAACAAGCAGCAAAAAGAAAATAGCCAGTAAGATTTTGTTTTCAGTCAATAAGAACTGATTGTGTCTTTTTGAATCAATTCATTAAAACTGAATGAACCATTCATTACTTCATAGGAATGAAAAAGTTCGAAAGCAACCCGCGCCACAATAGCATAAAAAAATGGTCCACCAAAAGGAATAAATAATGACTACCTTAAACTTTTGATATTTCATGATGAGCCTCATATACTGTTCCCTTGCCTCTGGGTTACGAATCATGGATTTGACTCTCTGGAGAGCTTTTTTTACATCATCTGATTTCTGTCTCCTGCCAATGCTCAGAAAATCATACTCATCAATGCCAACTGGTGGCTGCCCAACCCGAAATCCACGCAGACCAGTTCCTTTCCGTCTCCATCGAAGAATTACCTTTTCCACAATGCTAACAGACCACACAAGTTTTTTGTATTGCTTACGAACTTGGTGTCCTCTAATATGACCCTATATAGAAGAATATTGTTAATGAAGATGTAATACTGTCTTTATCAAAAATATAAAATAAATTCAGAAACAGAATGCCAAACTACATATAATTAAAACTGACATATTGACACAAAGGATGCATATACAGCAAAAATGAATACTGCATTATCCAGTAAATGGTACAATGTATATGCATCAATCAATTTACAAAGCTGATAAATTTATAAGCTTCAATCAGTTTAGCCCCTAATTTTATAAACTCACCACTTAATTCCGTTTTGTTGATAGTGGAAAAGGACCATGGATTAAAATGAGGATTTTGTTAAGGACTAAAGGAACAGACACTTACAATCTCAGGGTCCAGAATGGAGGTTTATTCAAATACCAAATGCCAAATAAAATAAAATAAGTTACACCTATTCCAGTCACCACATAACAATTTTAAAGATTGCAGTTCATAAGAATGAAAGAGAATTATTTTAGGGTGAAACATGAAAAGCAGATTGTAAAACTTGTCATGAAAATCATCTAGAAGGATGGGATGATCATGGTATGATGGTAGTAGAATACACTGTAAGCACACAAGTACCTGGATTTTTACAATGCGGCTGCGTATCTTTAAAAAATCCTTTCTTCCTTTCCATCCACGATATCTCTTCTGAATCTTTAAAGCTGCATAATGTAAATAATCCTCAAAGTGACCCATCTTCTGTACCTTGCTCAAAGAATCAACAACTATGTCAAGTACTGCATCCGAAATAACGCAGCTACTTTTGGCTAATTGTCTCTGACAGAATGACCTTGCTCTAAAGGCTGCTAGGATTGAAGCAGCTGTCTGAGCTGATTTTCGAAACACAGCAAGAGACTCTTTGAGATGATGTTGCTCATCCATTGTCAAATTAGATGAGTCATCTTCACAAGATTGAAAAGCACTGTCAGCTGCTATGGTTGTGGCAATGTTGCTAGTCTCATTTTCCTGGACAGTCAATACAGATAATTGATTAGTCAGATCTGCCTCAGCCAAATACCCAGCAATGCCTTTATGTCCTCTACTTGAAGCTAAATCAGCTGCTGTTTGACCTCGAGGAAATGCTGATGTTGGATCCTCAAGAGCACCTGGGGCTGCACCTAATTTGACTAGCACAATAACAGTTTCTTCTCTGGAGAGAAGGAAACAGGGAAAAGAGTAAGAATGGATACATTGTTATATAAATGACTGTATATAGCCCATGAAATAGTATGTTGATAATACCAGATACAAGCATAGAAAGTTATAAACATTAATAGTTTCTGACCTCCCAAAATACGATGCCCAGTGAAGTCCTGATCTTCCACGATTGTCTCTAAAGTTAGGATTGATACCAGCAGCAACTAATGGAGCCATAGCCCACACATAACCAAGTGCAGCTGCCAAATGTATTACTCCTTGGCCCTCATCATCCAACACATGTGATCCTTTTCCTCCTTCATGAACCTTGTATATCAACCACTCATAAAGCTTGTCTCTCATTAATCTCTGAAATAATACATCTCTAGGGTTTATATGATCAATTCCATCAATCTGGAAAGTTTCTTCAAATATTCCGCTATCATCTCTCATGGAATACATTATTCCCTTGAGTTTACATTTTTCACAATCAGAAACAGAGCACTTCAACCACTTTTTGTCAGGTCCCAAGTCTACTAGTTTAAAAAGTCGCATTTGAAGTCTTACCTTAATTTCTGGTAAGATTTTAACACCCAAAGGTCCTAAACATTTGTTTGGATGTTCATCAAACTGAAATTCCCTGACCTCACTGCAGGCTAACCTATTACTGCAGGTAACATAGAATGGTACATGACCAGATGAATGCATAGGAGTCTGGCACCTTATCACATTATCCCCTAAAACTTCAGCAGAAACCTCAATTTCACCAAACATACATCCCCATTTGGTTTCACTTGAGAGCTTTTTACTCCCCAGAAACGTGCCAACTATTAAAACCTTTTCACAGAAGGAAAGAAGAAATAAATCAAAACCAAATTTTATGGCGAATTTATAATATACAATTACATAAAATTTCAAGCATGTGCATGAAAAGGCACATACCTTTGTTCTAACCCCAGTATATGCCCAATCTGGAGAAAAGTCATGGATACTAAATAGTTGTTCTTGGGAAAGAGAAGGGCCTAATGAATCCATATCCAACTGTGTGTGCCGTAAACTAGATACCTCTTTATCCTCATTATGAGCATCAATTGTACTCCAATAATTACCAGAATCTGAAGCCATCAAGGAATTATCACAGTCTCCACCAATCTCTTTATCCATCCACCTTCCGAAACTATCAAGTTTCTTCATTTCCCCAGATTCAACCCGTTCTGATTCATCATTATCTAAACCACCATCTTTAAGTTTCTGTTCAACTATGGTTTTAGTATTTGCAACAACTGGATGATCATATAATTGAGCATGGAATGTATCTAGATCATGCTCATTTTGCACCTATCACAATATAATTAAATTTGTTAGAAAAAAGGTTACATTGGGTAAGAAGTATGAAATTAAACCATATAAACAAACCACATGAACAAGATTGCATTTGAAACATGCAGAAGCCTACAGGATATCGGATAGTCGTATTATCATGCATGAAAGTCAGACATAACATAGACCAAGAGATTTTTAAAATACATTATTACGTTTTCAACATGCATTTCAGACACATTGACAAAGGTAATGATCACTTGGATTGTTTAGGTTTACCAAACTCAGGAGCATCGATCTACCCGAGGCTATGAAGATAATGAGGAATCATAAAGGAAAGTAGAGATGTATCAATCGAAGTTTAAAAGGTATAGATAATCTAAGTTACTACACCTGATTAACAGTTAGTAAATCTTCAACTGGCTGGATGTACATGCCAGTGACGAGTCTATCTCCAAAAATTACACCATCTTGCATTCTGTTAACAGCATCTAACTTAGCACTGTTTAGCTTATGAACAGTGAAGTCAGCTTCTAAGCCATCAACAGATCCGTCAACATGATGTTTTCCATCATGCATATAAATTATGTCTCTGCTAGAATTCTGAATTGAAGTCCAGGGAGACAAGACAGTACCAGGAGAATAGCTAGGGATTGTAGATGACCATGTTGAAATCAAGGGGTTCCTCAACAACTCACAAAACCCTAAATCATAAATAAAATAAATAAATCACATGTTAAAAATTCAAAGAAAACTAACATATGGCCAAACATAATATCCTAAAAGTATCATTTGCATGGGCCAAAATAAACAAATCCAGTTAAAGGCATGCGAGTGAAGGAGGACCAAGGCAATAGGCATTGTCCTCGTCTCTAAAATCTCATTTGACAACTAACAAACAAAATAAATTAATGATTGCATTCCAAGACGAATTAAAATAAATCAACTTTTTATAGGTGGAATTTACAATAAAAGGACAAAGTTAAGTCGTATGAACTTTGAAATATCAATATGAAAATCATCCCTCAAACATAACAATGCAAGTAACTCCGTAAAAGAGAATTATTAGAGATCAGTAACACGTAAAACAATAAATTTTAAAATCATCATTACTTTGTCATGAAAGATATAAATAATGGCAATAGGAATGTCCTTGCAGTGAAATTAAATCACAAGAGAACTGACATAATAAACTTATTCCTTCTATTTCAAATCATTCCTCAATTTGAATGAATGCTACCTCTGCAGTATTGTACAACTTACCAGCAACTTCATGTGTATGCCAAGATGCACTGTGAATTATGGAATTGCTGACAGGCTGAGCATGAGAGGAGGCCTGAGGACCATCCTTTGAATTGACATGCTCATACTCTGAAGAGTATCCATGTTTATTAGCACTTGATGTGAAAGATTTTTGAACTACAGATATTGGTGTGTTTATTTTGCAAGAGGAAAGCACTGAACTATTTTGAGATCGGCCAACCAGGGTTACCGGAACTACAGGCAAATTTGAGATGCTGGAATTGCAGCTCTGCAAAGTGTAAATCATACAAAACACACAACATGAACAAAACATTGCAAACATGGAGAATCAACATAATATTAGAATGATCCATTAACAGGTCAATCATTAGGAAGACTTTTCGATTGCTCACAACAGACAAAAGCAGTTTATCATCAAACACAAGCATGAAAGAAAGATAATAGAAAGAAAAATCAATATAGTTGAGCTTAACACTAATAAGAATAAACTGGATTCTGGTTACAATTAATACTTTCTATTTCAATACATATTTTTCATACTAATGGTGTAGGTTTGCATCCATTTCGTTCAATTAGGATTAGGTTTATCTTCTATTAGTTTTTTTGTTTTAAATGATTTTTTCATTGTGTTTTTAGACTTTAGGAGGTTTGGGATTAGGTAATCTAGCTTTGGCACTTGAAGGGTGAAGGCTTGTGGTGATTGAGAATGCAATGCAACAACAACACAGCACCATTATATCTAGATAGCTTTATATGATATAAAATTAAAAATGCAATAACAGAGAACACATGTATACCTCTTTAGTTTCACGATAATGAACAAGGACTACATGCTCTAACTGCCTGCAAGCCAATACAATGTTCAAGCTGTCAGAATTTTATTCATCGGTGCTAAGACTGTAAAAAGGGTCAAAACTGGTGGAACAGCCCATAATTTTATGCAGACTTGAGCCCTCAAAATACAATTCCATTAAAATAAGGGTTCACTTCTTAAAGCATCATATTTCTTAGTTTTCCATTTTTCTGTGATGTTGGATTTTCATTATCAACCCAAAAATATGGCTTCTCTTTATTTAATTATTCAAATTGAGAAATTTTTACATATCAGTATTTTCAAATTTCTATTTTTACAGTATAAAAATAAACCCACCCTGTGCTGGCCTGTTCAGATTGCTAGTCCCCAAGGTCCAGACTTAAACCCATCAAAAGAAAAAAAAAATGTACCAGAAAAAGATTATTTTCAGTGTTTTATACAAATGAAAACTTTAGACTCAATCTATTATTGCTCAAGTTTTCAAATAAACTTACAGATCGACCAGACACACTAGCAATTAGAAACAAAAGCATCATCTTAAATGTTCTCTTAAAAACAATCAATTGTAGGAGCTTTCAAATCCTGAAATTAATAGGATGAAAGAAACTCACTCGTCAAGCATCCAATAACTTCTCCGTTGGAAGCTTTCGTTATCCTCACCATGGGCATAGTAACAATGCAACACATCCACACTACCAGCCTACAGTTTAAAATAGAGCTAAATAATTAGGCAATTCATGGGTCAAAAATAAAAATAAATGGGGGAAATGACTTATACATATATACATAAATACATAAACATATATATATATATATATATATATATATATATATATATATATTATGTATGTGTTTGTTTATTTGATACAATTGCCAAAATATGAGCTTTATACAAGAAAATAAAACATGTCAAGGAAAAAGAACTAAGTGCCTATTAACTAATAAATATAAAGACTGTTAGATTCAACATAATCCTAGGAGATTCCTCAACCACTATTAACATATGTCCAAATAAAAAAAAAAAAAAAAATAGAACGGTCCCAATAAAGAATATATATTGACCTGGAAAAAGGGGATGGTACGACAAATTTATGTTATCCATTAATTTTACCTTACAGTAAATTATATGAAATTATAAATCGATGGATTCAAATTAAGGTTTGATAATAGTATACTTTAAAAGCATGCTGCTTTGATATCAAGCTTACTATCTTGTCATATGTTAATGACCTGGCCTCTCAAAATAATTAAAAAAACCATGAATTTCAGGACCATCTGAAGCTACACGCTTATGCAACCAGGGGTGTTTCCCGAGGCATCACCATGGTATTGTATGTTAAACAATAAGAATCTAAAGTGGATCAATGACACGAGGCAATTCCAAATTTTCAACACAACAGTTTGATCCTTACAAGAAGTTTGATTAACATAACAATTCCAAAAAGTGAAACTTACAACTAACAAAATGAACAGCACACCTTCAACTTTTCATGAGCTTCTCTTATGGTCTTCCCATCTTTTTTCTTCCTCCATCGGTGACCATCCTTTCGAAAATAACGGAGTGCTTTTCGATCAAATAAGAATAGTGATCCGGCTGGAAAAAAGGATTGATAAATGAATGCCATATTAGCACTCTGTCCTTATAGCAGGCATATGTACTCAAGTCAAACACATATATCAAGCCTGAGATATTTCCTTTGGAGCACATTGGTGAAGCTAACATAACTAAATGAGGTCAATCATCACAATTACTAGTTAGTTTCTCCATTCTGATGAAAAAACAGAACAAAGAAATTCTAAATTATTTAGCTAAACGATAAGGGAATCAAAGGACCATGTAGTGTGAGCTTGTTACCCTATCAGTCACCCACCAAGCCTCTAAAGCATGATACTTTCCAAATAGATTATTCAAGTCCCAAACCTTGTAAAATGTATTCCCTCCCCTTGTCTGTAGCAAATATCAAAATCTAAAAGGGTATGAAGTTCAGGGAAAAATAGGAAATACCTGGAGGCCTAATAGGTGGATCTGGTGTCAACTTAAACTTCTTATAGTTGCGAAGTATCTCACATATTTCAACAGGTCGAAGCCAACGATGTTCTGCTTCTTGCAATATCTCTTCAAGTTCTACTACATACCAGGAAACATTCAAGGGTATTGTATAAGACAAGGGGAAAAATCAAACTCAAACGCAAACGCAAATAGATCACTCTACTTGAATGATAAATATAGACGTATATTCAGTGAAGGCAACATCGGAACTAAAGTTTAAATAATTACATGATACTGCACAGACAATGGATGAATTTAATTCAATTGGAACATTCATCAGTGTCTTGGATAACGATAGCTCACATCAAAGAACAAACTACAAACTTCCCAATTATTTTCAGCGATCCAATCCAATTTAAGCATACAAATGACATCCATTTGATCAGGAACAGTGAAACAAAAGTAACTCATGCATGTTGCATACAGAATGAAAATTAAGGCAATCAGTGTTATGCATGCATGCATGCAGAAAGCTAAGAAAATGTAAATTGAAAAAAGGCACATGCTTGATTTTGGTGACAATGAGAAACAAGAAAGGAAATTGAAACACGCTTGTTAAGATGAAGAAGGGGAATCTAACCTAATTGTGAGTTGGGAATATATTTTGCGGTCTCTGCCATGAGAAAACGGTAATCTCTCACACATGGAATTCAAAAGGCGAATGCAGAGAACTAAAGTGAACTGAATGAAAGCGCTGAATAAAAGTCCTAAGAGGACAATGAAAGGGTGTTGAAGAAGGGCCGAAGTGTGGTGGAAATGACGGAACAATGAAAAGAAAAGAGAAGAGAGAGAGAGAGGGAGGAAGGGATGACGGTGGCGCGTGAAAGGCACTTAAGAAAAGGGAGAGTTGAAGTCAAAGATCCCACGTAGCGTTCACACATTCCGACGTGGCGTTTGTTCCTTACGAAGTAAGCCAAAAGCTTCCTCCTTTTGTGTGTGGCCTCCTAGGTATCTATTCCACACTCTCGCAACCTTTCTAAGGTTTATTATTTTTACTAATTCTATCTATTTCTAAAATGATAATACTAACTTTCCTTCTTTATATAAAAAAATAGACTTCGTAATAAATTAAAATGTAGGAAACATAACAATTAATATATTAAAAAATATTTTTTTATAATTAAAACGAAAATAGTCCCTTTTATATTTATATTGATATTCGTAATTTTGTATTGAAATTTGTACAAGTATTTATTTAATTTTATGAATAGAATTCGAGCTCTTGCTCCTCCTTCACAGAACATAATCCGTGATATTGCAGGTCACATTGTTGAAGTTCGCCCCTTCTTTCACTTCATTAGTGCTTCTACCACTGGCAGACACTGTTAGCATAGTTTCTCCAATGTCCTATTCTCACCTAAAAACAAATAGTTCATCAACGCGTCTTAAGGTTCGCAAAACTTTAACTATCCATCAAACTTGTAATTTGGAGTAAATTTTAATCATGAGAGAATATATTTAAAACTTTATAAGAAAAATATAAAGGATGACATTATGAGAATATAAAATATTTTAATTTATTTGAAGTAGAATAAACTTTATTTTTAATCAATCTTTATGGTGGGAGAAGCATTATCGCATGAAGGAAAAGAGATAAAAGTATCATGAAAAGTAGAAGATAAATTATGTCATTTTAAATAAAAGAAAAAGCGAAGTGCAGATAGCAAAATGGCATTGTAATTAGCATGAGTCATCCTTTAATATTGGACAACCCAACTCCATCTGGGCCGAGACCAGAAAAGCCCAAGAAAATGATAACAGCAAAATAATACAATTAAACCATACACAAATCCGTCTTGCGTGCTCCGAGTTTGAAAGAAAAAAATAAAGTTGACTAGAGATCGGGATTGGGTGGAAATATATACTACAATCCCTACCCTCGTCTCATCTCATATATGACTTTATACTTAGATTTAAATTTTTAAATATTAATATTTTAAAAATATTTCTTTTTTTAATATATAAGATCATTTTTTATATTTTACTATTTCTATTTTTTTCTATCCATTTTTTTTATTTTATTTTTTTTAATCTTTTATATCAATTTGTTCTTTATATTATTCACTTTCTCTTTTTCATATTTCATTAATCGTTCCAATCAATTTGTTTTTTTTAACCAATTTGATAAACATAAAGTCAATCTTTCTTCTTTTATCTCTTTCTAAATATTTTACACAAATCTTAATAGTAATTAATATTATTTTATGTATAATTTATCTTTATTAGATTTTATTATGTCATATTTTCTTTATTTGTCATATATAAATTTTTATCTTAATAAAATAAATATAGTTTAAAAAATAAAAAAGAATTGATAATTTAAATTTTTATTCTTTAAACTAATTAATTTATTAAATATTTTCTTATAAACTATATATTTTATATTTTTAAATGATAAATTAAAAAAGAGTTAATTATGCAATAAAATGTTTAAGTATATAATAATAATAATAATAATAATAATAATAATATTATAATAAGTATTATATATTTATATAAAGAAAAAATTTATATATATTTTTTATATACATATTTTAATATAAATATAATAAATTAAAAAATATATTTAATTAATAACAATTATAAATTATATATATTTATTTATTTATAAAAAATATATAAAAATATTAAAATTAATTTATTAGAAATAATATAGATGAGATACGGTAATAAGAAAAAAATTTAAAAACAAAAATAAGAACTTAATTTTTAATCCAAGGAGATCCGGACAAAACCTCCGTTGATGGCCCTAAGTAAAACTCCTTTAATTTCTTTAATACAATAGAACAGTTGCTGCTTTAAAACTTTTAACACAAATGCATATTCAATAATAATATGGAATAATTTCACCATATTCTGAGTCTCATAAACCCCGTTACATGAAAATAAAAAATATGTTTCTCCACTAAGTGAAAACACCCTAAAACAAGATCAACAATGTGAGATAGCATTGTTCATTACAGTTGCAATTAGTGATTTGAAAATATATCACTTTTTGACCCTTTTTGCTGGACTGAAAAAGACAAACTCGGTACACATTTTGCACCATAGAAAAAGTCATGCGATTCTTAAAGATATAACTCCTTCTCATATACAGTTTGAAGAAAAGAATATTCCTATGCTTGACCTAAAAGTTCATAGAGAACCTTTTTGCCTTTTAATCATGATAAAAGCATAGAATATAAGCCTACTTCCAAGAACTAACAACAACTTTCTTCAAGAAAAGGATAATGTGGATCACAACAATATATATATATATATATATATATATATATATATATATATATATATATAGCAGACTTCAAATATAGTCCACACTTTCGATTTCATTGCCATAGCTCAAATCTAACCATGGGTAGTCAAGATGGTTTGTGCTTTTTTCTTTGATATAGTAATTAATCTATTTGGGCAGGGATGAATGTTGAATTTGACTTTCTAATTGCATAAACCATTTTTGGTTATTGTTTTTACATTCTATAAAGTTCCTAGTTCATCCTTTTTATTCTATAATGAATATTTTCAAATGCAAAACTTACATTTTTAAGTATTATTCTGAAATAAACAAAAAAAGGTTGACCAAAATTTTTGTGAATGACAGAGAAAGTTAGGCCCTATATTTTGCTTGTAATACCTGTTCTTTTATTACCTTAATCTAGTTACTGAAATGTCTTTCATTATACACACAATTGCTTGAATGACTAAAACAACAAAATTTAAAGGGTTCGAATTCGAAAACAAACGTTGTTAATTCAAGAAAAATTTAATGAGATCATTATAAAGATAGAAAGTTACGAGGATATGATTAAAATTAACTGGAAATCATGAAATTAAAAATTCGATTTTTAGTTTCTTTATGCTTGTTTTATGTCATTCCCCAGCAAACAAAAGTGCAGCCACTCCACTATCCATAGTAGATTCTCCACCAGCTCATTACGTATTGAAAATACAGTCATTTTCACTCCTTCTGAAGAATTCTATTGAGAGATACGAATCAGGGAGTTTTGAAGCTGGAGGCTACAAATGGTACACATTTATTACATGTTGTAGTTGAAAGTAATATTGATGAAATCAATGACTAGGTTATATATTTAAGTGCTTACAATTACATCTCGTAGGAAGTTAGTTCTGTACCCTGGTGGAAACAAGAGCAAGAATGTAAAGGAGCATATTTCACTCTACTTGGCTTTGGATGACACAAGTTCACTTCATCCTAGTTGGGAAATCTATGTCAATTTTCGACTCTTTTTACATGATCAGAACAACGACAATTACCTAGTTGTCCAGGGTAACCATGTTAATTTTCTTACAACAGTTCACCGGTTACTGATAAATTGAGTCTACTTCATAAATTAACGGTCTCTTACCGATTTTGGTACACTGCATTTGATAGACTCTGTGGGAAAGGAAAGGAGATTTCACCAAATGAAAAAAGAATGGGGAATTGATCAATTTATTCCTCTCAGAGACTTCAACCTTGTCTCCAAAGGTTATCTTGTGGATGACACGTGTTCTTTTGGAGCAGAAGTGTTTGTTTGCAAAGATAGAAACAGACGCAAAGGAGAAAGTTTGGTGATGATGAAGGATGTTATTCCATACAAGCATCTCTACGAGTTTGACAACCTCTCACACTTGAATTCAGAATGTTGTGATTCTAAACCATTCAATGCTGGAAACTTCAAGTGGTAAGATTAGCAATTCTGTTGTTTCTAAACTTGATTTGCAGGATGAATTTCAATTTTCTCAACTTCAATTTGAATGAATTTCATTTTGCAAAAATAATTCTTCATTTTGCTTCTATTTCAACAGAAGTTTAAGGAAAAACTCAGTTTTTTATCAAATTCAACTGAAAATTAGACAGAAAACTTTTTCAGTTTTATTGTGTTGAAAGTGACTTAAACCAAACATGTCCTAATTGACACAAAGGATCTTTGCTTCCCAAGTAACATAACTTGAAGTTTTGCTTTGAAATTGACAGCATTTTAACAATTTCCTAATTTGTCTCTGACAGGAAGATAAAACTATATCCCAATGGAAAAGGTGCTGAATTGGGAAATTATCTTTCTCTGTACCTAGCCTTTGCTGACCCATCAACCCTTTCTCCCACTTCCAAAATATATGCACAGATAGCACTACGCATACTTGACCAAAAGCAAGCCAAGCATCACTTTGGAAAAGGTATAATTTGATCACTTTTATTGGGTGCAATTACTACTACTGATACAAAATGATAGTTGTTGATGTTGGGAAAAATATGCTGAATCTTCCCATATGGTCAGATCTGTAAAAGTGAAATAAAAGCGGAATAATTGCACACACAAGTTGATAACGGAGTTCGGCCAATAATGCCTACGTCTCCGGACTACTACAGATCTCTTTCTAGGAGAAAAGAAAATACACAAGTGTTTACAAAACACTCTCAAAACACTCACAACTCACAACCCAATTACACCCAGAAGCTAAACTAAAACTCTCTAGTTTTTTTTTGCCTCTCACTGGTGCCACTCTTTCTTCTCTAAGAGAAGTAGTATTTTGTGTGGGATGGGATACATTTGCTTGCAGGAAGAAGACCAATTTATAGCAAAAATTGGTACTGTGTATTACCATAAAAAATTGCCTCGTGGGCACCTCATGCTTGAATAAAAATTTGCAGCCACCCTTTTCTTCCATGCTTTCGGTGCAAATGAGAAAGTTGGTTGCCCACTTTCTTTGACCAACAATCTCCCACTTGAGGACCGATTTCAATCTGTCCTCATACCTTGATCAATAGTAGTCTTCTCTTGTCTGTTATCCTTGTAAGCTAACTGAAGTTGAGCATAACTTCAGTTTGTCAATAGTCACCACCTTTGTTAGCATATCTGCTGGGTTCTTACTTCCCACAATTTTCTTCAATGTTAGCATCTCATCCTCAAGTAGAGATCCGATGAAATGATAACGTATGTCGATGTGTTTGGTTCCGGAGTGAAATGCTGAATTTTTTGCCGGATGTATTGCACTCGACTATCACCGTGCAAAACACTCCTTTCTTGAATGAATCCCAACTACGCCAACAATCCTTGAAGCCATATCAATTCTTTATCGGCTTCATCACTGCTACATACTCAGCCTACGTAGTGGATAAAGCAACAATCTTCCGTATCCGCGACATCCAACTAACAGTTGTAGTTCCAACAAGTAAACACATACCCAGTGGTGCTTCTTCGGTGATCAACTTCACCTCCAAAGTCTCGCATCTACGTAGCCTCGCAATTTTAGATCTCCCTTTCTAAAATACGGACATTTTTCCGTTGTGCCTCGTAGATACCTTAGAATCCATTTGATCTGCTTCCCAATGAGCTTTTCCTGGATTTGACATGAATCTCGCTTACAACTCCCACTCGCATGGCCAATGTCCGGCCTCGTACGGACCATCGCGTACATCAAACTTCCAATGGTCGAAGCATACGGAATCTTAGCCATTAACTCTTCTTCTTCCTTTGTTTGAGGAGACTGATCCTTGGATAGACGAAAATGGCAAGCCAAAGGTGTATTGACTGGTTTGGCATTGTCCATGTTGAATCTCTCGCAAAACATGGTTGATGTACTCCGCTTGAGATAACTGCAAAACTCCTTTTTGCTTATCTCTCGTGATTTGCATTCCAAGAATCTTCTTTGTTGGGCCTAAGTCCTTCATGTCAAATTCTTTTGACAACTGCTTCTTTAAGTTTATGATCTCATTCATATCTCGAACTCGCTACTAGCATATCATCAACATAAAGTAGCAAAATGATATAACTGGACTTATACCTCTTGAAGAAACAACGGTGATCGGCGTTGCACTTCGAAAACTCTCCTTGTGCATGAAGCTTTCGAACTTCTTATACCACTCGTCTTGGAGCTTGTTTCGAGCCATACAAGCTCTTTTTCAATCTGCACACCAAGTTCTTCTTTCCTTCGAAAAACCTTCAGGCTGGTGCATGTAGATCTCCTCATCTAAATCTCCATGAAGAAATGCGGTCTTCACATCTAATTGCTCTAGGTAGAGCTCCTCACTAGCCACAATACTTAACACGAGTCCCGATAGTATTGAGCTTTACAAGCTGGAGCAAAGATTTCGGTGTAGTCGACTCCTTCTTTCTGCTGAAATCCTTTGACGACCAGTCGAGCTTTGTATCTCTTAGAACCATCATGGTCTTCCTTCACTCGATACACCCATTTGTTGTGAAGTGCTTTCTTTCCCATAGGTAACTTGACTAGTTCCCATGTCTCGATTTGAGATTAAAGACTTCATCTCGTCTTTCATGGCAAGCTCCCACTTGCTAGCATCCGTGGCTTGACAAGCTTCCGTATAATCTTCGAGGCTCCCTCCATCGATCAACAACATGTAGTCCATGTATCTCCTGTTAGGCACATGAGGCCGAGAAGACCTTCTCAATACAGGAGTTGGAGTAGGAGGTTCCGCTTGCACATCAAGTTCTTCAACCGATTCCTCCGGTCGAGGACTCCTCATTATAGGACTTTCTCGGGATATCTTCCACCTCTGCATAAACCGGCCCACTCGCTTCGAGTTGCCGGCACCTGTATTATGCTTGTCCTTGTACATCACTTTTTCATTGAAGATTACGTCTCTGCTGCGGATCATCTTTTTGTTTTCATCGTCCCATATGCGGTAGCCAAACTCATCTTCACCATAACCAAGGAAAGTACATTTCTTTGATTTTGGATCAAGTTTGTTTCGCCTTGATCATCGATATGCGCATATGCTACACAGCCAAAAACTCTAAGATGTGAGAGTTTTACCTCTTTTCCGCTCCATACCTCTTCCGGTATCTTGTGTTCCAATGGTACCGATGGACTTCGGTTGATCAAGTAAGCTGCTTGTGTTGATCGCTTCGCCCAAACTGCTTTGGTAAGCCTCGATCGCACACGCATGCTTCGGCCCTTTCGATCAACGTTCGATTCATACGCTCAGCCTACACCATTGTGTTGAGGCGTACCGGCACGGTTCTCTCCATTCTGATTCCGTGCTCATAGCAAAACTTCTTGAATTTGGTGTCTACATATTCACCACCATTGTCGGATCCGAGCTTCTTAATCTTCAATCTCGTCTCATTTTCCACCATAGCTTTCCAAATCTTGAAAGCTTCAAATACTTCGACTTATATTTCGGAAAGTAAACCCATACCTTTCCGGAGTGATCATCAATGAAAGTCACGAAGTAATGCTTCCCACCAACGGATGGGACAGGTCGTTGGACCCCAAACATCGAGTGGATGAGCTCAAGCTTCTCTTTCTTTGGGGTTCTTTTACTTGTTTGAAAGCCGACTCTCTTCGCTTTCCAAGTATGCGATCTTCACACATGTCAATATCTACTCGATCGAAGACCCGGTAATTTTCCTCTCGAGTGCATGACCTTCATTCCTTTCTCACTCATATGTCCAAGTCTTTGGTGCCATATGTTGGAATTTTCATTTGCTGCAATCGCAATCAAATGACATGCTCCTGCAGTCTTGTAGAGAGTTCCACTCTTTTTGCCTCGAGCAATCGTCATCGCACCTTTTGAGATCTTCCATTCATCACCATGGAAGATTGTCGTATAGCCTTCACTAGCTAATCGACCTACCGAGATTAAGCTCTTTGTCGAGTCGGGAATATGTCCGACATTTTTCAATTCCCATACGGACCCATTCAGCCTTAATCCTTACTGCACCTTTGCCTACAATCTCACATGACTGTTCATTACCAAGGTAAACCTTACCAAGGTTTCCGGGAACATAATTCTCCAACAGTTCCTTCCGTGAGGTAGCATGAAAAGATGCTCCGAGTCTAACACCCAAGACTCCTCCCCGCCTTCAAGAGAGCATATCAACGCCTCATCTTTTCCCGAGGTGGAGGCAACGTTTGCTTCGTCCTTTGCTCCTTGATTCTTCCGTGCACTCTTGCACTGGTTTCTGAAGTGTCCGGTCTTCCCACAATTCCAACACTCGATCGTTTTTGAGTTGTGGGAACTACGATGATTTCTCGGACTTGGACCGCCTGTCCTTTGATTTTCCATGTCCAATTTCTTTGGTTGAACTTCTTCCTCTTGACTCGTATGCAATATCGAAGAGGTTGATGCTTCACCCGACTCTCTCCGCCGGATCTCTTCGCCGAGAACCAAATTTTGAACATCATTAAATCTTAACTTATTGTTTCCCGATGAGCTACTCACAAGCTGTGACCGTAGCATTCCAACTCTCCGGTAGGGAAGACAAAAGTATTAAAGCCTCGTACTTCATCATCGAATTTGATGTCAATAGAACTCAACTGGGTTGTTACGGTGTTGAGTTCATTGAGATGATTTGCCACCGAAGCACCTTCGGACATCCGCAGGTTGAACAATCGCCTCATCAAGTGAACTTTGTTTGAGGCTGATGGTTTCTCGTACATGTTGGAAAGAGCCTTCATGAGATCTCGAGGTCGTCTTTTCTTTCACAATGTTAAAAGCAACATTACGGGATAATGTTAGACGAATAACTCCAAGAGCCCGTCTATCAAGGAGACTCCATTCTTCCTCTTTCATGGTTTACGGCTTCTCCCCTGTGAGTGGTTGATGCATCTTCTTCGATACGGATAATCCTCTATCTCGCATCTTCCGAAGCCAAAGTCTGTACCGTCGAACCTTTCGATTTTCATTTTTCCTTCGTCTGCAGCCATCACTCCAACTCGATCCGACTTATCTGTCTGGATCGTTTCGACAATTTCGTGAGCTACCGTGTTTTAGAACACGACTGCGGGCAAATTTGTAACGCCGACAAAATTTGCACTATTCACGTTTTCACTATTCACGGAATAGTAACTTACTATTCATATGAATAGTAACACCACAAAAATTACAGAACTAACAACCAGCTCTGATACCAGTTGTTGGGAAAAATATGCTGAATCTTCCCATATGGTCAGATCTGTAAAAGTGAAATAAAAGCGGAATAATTGCACACACAAGTTGATAACGGAGTTCGGCCAATAATGCCTACGTCTCCGGACTACTACAGATCTCTTTCTAGGAGAAAAGAAAATACACAAGTGTTTACAAAACACTCTCAAAACACTCACAACTCACAACCCAATTACACCCAGAAGCTAAACTAAAACTCTCTAGTTTTTTTTTGCCTCTCACTGGTGCCACTCTTTCTTCTCTAAGAGAAGTAGTATTTTGTGTGGGATGGGATACATTTGCTTGCAGGAAGAAGACCAATTTATAGCAAAAATTGGTACTGTGTATTACCATAAAAAATTGCCTCGTGGGCACCTCATGCTTGAATAAAAATTTGCAGCCACCCTTTTCTTCCATGCTTTCGGTGCAAATGAGAAAGTTGGTTGCCCACTTTCTTTGACCAACAGTTGAATGAATAATTAACATGGATAAGATTCTTCACAAGCCTAAGCAACCAAAGACATCTATTTGATCACTTCAATAGCTAACACTCTCTTTCCTGCAGCTAACTACTGGTTTAGTGCCTCAAGCCCTGAAAATGGTGCACCCAGGTTTATGCCGATCAATAGTTTCACAAATCAAAACTCAGGTTATCTGGTGAAGGAAAGTTGCTTGGTGGAGGCAGAGGTTATGATTCTTGGAGTGGTTGATGATTTTTCTAAAATTGTTTAAAGTGTGTTATTCATGTGTATAAGTCATTTCCCTAAGACTCAACAAGTTGATCCCATAATTAATGAAAATCAAATCCAATCACAAGTCTACTTCTAACATGAAAAAGAAATGTAACTATCTTCTTAATTAACCTTTAATTATTTAAGTTAAAACATATCACTATTCACACCAGAAAGTAGATATGTGTATATGCTTAGAAAATGGAGAAAGAGGAAAGTATAAAATAGTCAGCACTGAAAAGAATGATTTATCTTCAAATGATTAAAAAATTGACCATTGAACTATACAAGAAAAGCATTGCAGAACCAACATCATTGTTACCAACATATAATCTGGACATTGATGCAAATTATTGTTTTTGGCAGAACACGTGTAGCCTTTAGGAAAATGCATAGTGCACCATAACCAGGTAATTACAGTACCTGCAACACAGAATAATAATCATGCATAAGAGAAATAGCTCTCAAGAGTCATAGGTTTCATTCAAATATTCAACACAGAAAGTTCAAAAAGTCAAGCATTTGAGGGCTCTCACTTTTCAAAATGGAATTAAAATAAAAAGAAATTAATCTAAACCAAGAACAAAAAGTCGTATGGCTGCTACATTTGATTACGATGTTTTCCAACTCCTTTCGTGGTTCATCTGCTCGCAATCAATATCAACCAACAACCATGCAATACCGATGTTAATAATGTTTTTCGTGTTTGAAATCATTCATAGTTGTCAATTTAATTTATAAAATAACAAAAATATATATAAAAAAAGTGTGACAATTTCACCTGTTAAATTTTATACGACCATTTTATAATTTCAACGGGACTAGAACATGTAGATATCAATATATACATGTTATCACCAACCATGGAATTATGAACTCTATTCAACAGAAAAAATATATATATAAATTATAAACTCAGTCATGTTATTTTTTTTGCAGACATTTTGACATTTTTAATTAATTAATTTCATCGACATAACTTTTTTTAAAATAATTATTATAAATTCAATAATTTAATTATAATTTATGAATAGATTGATGATTCAGGATTAAAACTTCTTTACAGTGTCAATTTTCGGTATATTAAATTCAAAATAATTTACTCACAAAATTAAATTAGTTTAGTTTTTCATAATAGAATTGGTTGAAATTTTAAAATATTTTTCAACGCTATTTAAAATTGTATATATCAACTGTAATTATTATTTTTTTTGTCAAAATGTTTTACGGTTAATCTTTTCAATATTTTATAAAATGTTAAATAAAATTTAAACATATTTAGCATCTTAAAACTATAAAATAGTTAACATTGAATAAAATATATTTTATTTCTTGAAAAAATGGATGTATTTTAATTTTGATTTTTATAAAAAAACTATATTTCATTTTTATGAAATTAAATATATTATTTCAGTCTTTATAATATGAAAGTTTAAATATAACTTTTATTGTGAATTGAGGGTTTTTTTTAAATTAAAAAACTACTTTTAATAATATTATATGATAGTATTATCATTTTAAATAACACATATTAGTACTGTGATATATAATTGAGCATGTCACATCTTAAAAAAATCTTAAGACTTGTAAAAATCATTATTCTTTATTTAGCTTAACAAATATTAAAATTAAAACTATGATTATTTTATAAGAACTATATACAATTATTTTGAATTTCATAAAAATGGAAAAAAAAATATTGAAACAAAAACTAACGTTGGTTACATTACAGAAATCAAAATCGCCAAATAAAAAAATATGCGTGACTTTGACGCAACATAATATTTTTATTTGTTTTTAATTCCTTGAAAATCTGATTTCCTCTCCAGTATTTATTTTATTAAAAAAAATTACAAATCACGTGGGGTTGAAAACGTATCACACGTAACAATGAATAATGAAATTGCAAATAGTTTTTTTTTTAATATTTAAAACACTCAAAATAGGTAACCAGTGGACAAAAAACAAAGTTTTTAACATTTTGAAAGATGAAAGATGAGGTTTGAAAATAGTATGAGAAAAAAAAATTGATTAAATTTATAAGAAAAAATAGATTAAAATATTTTAGAAAGTAAGAAAATTATTGTAAATGTTTGAAAAAGATGTACAATTAATCTCCATTAACACGTGTCCCTTACTTTTGAATATTTGGGTGTTGACGTGGCTCAAATGGAGTGGTGTTTGTTTATCACTTCATTCTTATGCAAACAAACACGATTGTCACTTGCCAAGGCAAACAAATTTCAAGAATATATTTTATATAATAATAATAAAGTCTTCGTTTTCCTTATTATAGTATAAAAATATTAATAATGATAATATTATGTGGTTACCCTTTCTTTGCACTTCAACTAAATAATGGTCAGAATTGGTGGCAAATTTATATTCAATTCAAAACTTTCAACGTAAGTTCGGTGATAGGTAATATTAGATTAGACTTTTCTGGGACATTTTTTTCAATCTCATTTTGATTATTTTTTAAAATACGAGGATGAAAGTAATGCATTTTTTTATATTTTTTAAAATTATATCATCACGCTTTAAGCTGTCTAAACACAAACATACTTCATAAAATAAAATAAAATAAAGACTTCATTATTATATATATTAACTATTTTAGAGCTTCACGTATTTCCCATATATACATAGCTATTCATGGTATAATATTTTAACTTAAGAAAATTTGTTTAACTAGTACTTTAAAGAAACTTGTTAATATTTTCTTCAGATTGGGTTTATGATAAAGCTTATATGTTAGAGTTTGACTAATAAAATTATTGGGAAAATATGGTTGTTAATACTATCTGTTGCAATAAACCATGAGTCAATAGATTGTGAATGTTATGAAAAGTACAATTAGTATTGTAAATAATGGTCAATGGTGGTGTAAAAAAAATATGGGCAATGGTCAAAATTTATGTAATGTGGAAAAACTATAATACGTTATAAATAAAAATCCATAAACCTAAGAAAATATTACACGACATTAGTTTGATTGTTTGAAAAGTTATATAGTATATTCATATATCATTATATTAATTCAAAATTCATATGTTAAAAAGAAAAGGAAAACATATTTATTTTACCATGTTAAATTTGTTGTTAAAAAATATTCATATGGTAGAAAATAAAAATATTTAGTTATTTAAAAACTATAGTTTGATGGCAGCATGGTTGAAGGCATGAAAAAGGCATACAGAAATATCTATGCATTGACCATTGATGAAGTTGTCCCATGTAGGTAGGTAAACACACTCATTGTTTTGTAAGCATTCATCATTTAATTTAATATATGCAATTAAAAGTATTTAATATTGCTAATTGTAGAATCTTGCGCGTAGGATTAGGCATTGGAATCAGAGAGTGAGAGTCAAAATCAGGTTTAATTTGGCCAACCCCGAAGGGGTTGGTGGGGGGTTTCACTTTCCACGTTCATCTCAAGTTTCAATTAAATGGAAAAAATTATTAATAATCATTAATCATGTTATTATTTATTTAATTATAATTGAAAAACATAAATACACTTCATATCATGTAAAGAAGACACTACAAAGATTTCAAAATCCTTGTCTCCCGATACTCATGCCACATCGAGTCAACGGTTGAGATTCATTTGACCCCGCAATCTGAGCCGTGGATTGAACCTCCAGCACAGACAGAAGCAAATGGATGAACCTAACCCACAATCTAATCTTGTTACTTAGGGGCATTTCCGTCATTGACCCACCCAGCCACCCGTTTACCCTATAAATGCCAACTCAATGCTCGCCATTTGAACTCGCAGCGCTTGAGATCAGATCAAGGCCACCTCATAACCTTCGTCCATACCTCTTTCTCTCTCTGCTCTTCGACCTTTCAAGGTACCTTCTCTTTCTTCAACATTCTTGTCATATTGAAGATACCCTGCTTCGATTTTGGGTCTTGTACTTCTGGGTTGTCTTTCTTTGGTTTTTTCTCAACTGGGTAGATCTAGGATTTATGTTTCCCCAAACAGGTTTAGATGAATGCCAACCTTATTTTGTTTTTTTACTTGCCGGGGAAACGCGTTAGCCTTTCGGATCGAGTCCAAATCGTATACTGATAGCCTCCTTTCCGTATAGCCTATGAAAAAAAAATCACTTTTTGAGGGGATTTTGAGTTTTCTATTAAACTTTGACCTTTTACTGAGATACAGTTTTGTGATAGAGGGTTAGAGCTAATTTTGCAACTGTACTTGCTTGTTTGTAGTTCTTTTTCCTTGTTTCTCATATACTCGTCAGGAGAATCAATTTAATCTGAGTAGGTCACTTAATATGGCCATCTTTCTTAATATAGGGAATTGGTCCCTTTCCTTGAATCCAACTCGCTTGTGTTTATGGTTAGAAAATGGCACTTCTGTTTTTGAACTTTCTTCCACCTTTATTTACGTCTGGATTTAATGCGTGTGTGTAACTTCATTTCGTGATTTTTTTTTTCCTTTTAGTTGCTGATTTCATTTTGGTTTGTGTGTGCAGTTTTTAAAGTTTAAAATGGCAGAGACATTTCTGTATACTTCCGAATCCGTCAACGAGGGACACCCAGACAAGCTCTGCGACCAAATCTCCGATGCCGTTCTTGATGCTTGCCTTGAGCAAGATCCAGACAGCAAGGTTGCGTGTGAGACATGCACCAAAACCAATTTGGTCATGGTCTTCGGAGAAATCACCACCAAGGCCATCGTTGACTATGAGAATATCGTTCGTGACACCTGCAGGAACATCGGCTTCATCTCAAACGACGTGGGACTTGATGCCGACAACTGCAAGGTCCTTGTAAATATTGAGCAGCAGAGCCCTGATATTGCTCAGGGTGTGCATGGTCACCTCACCAAAAGACCTGAAGAAATCGGTGCTGGTGACCAGGGTCACATGTTCGGTTATGCCACAGATGAGACCCCTGAATTGATGCCATTGAGTCACGTTCTTGCAACAAAATTGGGTGCTCGTCTCACTGAGGTTCGCAAGAACGGCACCTGCCCTTGGCTGAGGCCTGATGGGAAGACCCAAGTGACTGTTGAGTATTACAATGACAAGGGTGCCATGGTTCCGGTTCGTGTCCACACCGTGCTTATCTCCACGCAACATGATGAGACTGTCACCAACGATGAAATTGCTACTGATCTCAAGGAGCACGTAATCAAGCCCGTGATCCCCGAGAAGTACCTTGATGAGAAGACCATTTTTCACTTGAACCCCTCTGGTCGCTTCGTCATTGGTGGTCCTCATGGTGATGCTGGCCTTACTGGCAGGAAAATCATCATTGATACCTATGGAGGATGGGGTGCCCATGGTGGTGGTGCCTTCTCTGGGAAGGACCCTACCAAGGTTGATAGGAGTGGTGCTTACATTGTGAGACAGGCCGCTAAGAGCATTGTCTCCTGTGGACTTGCCAGGAGGTGCATTGTGCAAGTGTCTTATGCTATTGGAGTGCCTGAACCTTTGTCTGTTTTCGTTGATACCTATGGGACTGGGAAGATCCCTGACAAGGAGATCCTGAACATTGTGAAGGAGAACTTTGATTTCAGGCCTGGTATGATTTCCATCAACCTTGATCTGAAGAGGGGTGGGAATGGCAGGTTCTTGAAGACTGCAGCATATGGACACTTTGGCAGGGAGGACCCTGACTTCACATGGGAAGTGGTCAAGCCCCTCAAGTGGGAAAAGGCCTAGGCAATTCATTCCACCTCTCTGTGCTGGGAGTTTTTCGAGCGTTGCCCTTGTGATAGCTAATATTCAAAACGTTCTACGTGGCTCACTCCTTATTTGTTTCTCCCCCTATTTTGTTTCTTCTGTGTACTTCATTTGTGATTTTTTACATTATCAATTGAAAAAGTGTACTCTGTGTGCCCAACCAGTGTATCTCTTGGATTCATATGAAAAGAGACTATTCAAGATAGTGTATGGATTGAAATGAATCTCTATGAAGACACTACTCACATGCATTTTAAATACTTTGTTCTCCTAGTTCCCAAAAAATTTAAATGCAAATTTGAAGAGGCAGAGCATTTTTGCTGTCACGTTGAGGTGGTTTCCGGAATGACAGTTGAAGAAGAGGATTAATAGAAATAAAAATAAATATTTTACTTGTTATAGAAGCAACTTTAACCCATTTGTTGTGAGCGATCATAAAATAGATTTTATTCTCAAATATTTTGGTAAGCGCTGTCCTTGGAGATGTCCCAAGAAAATCTCATTTGTGACACGTCTTTCAGAAGCAAAGCTACCGACAGTTGTGGTTGGTCTTGTTTTCGGATATCTTTCCACTTCACAAGGTTTGGTGTTGGGAGAAGTTTGAACAATGTTCACTTATTTCACCCCAAGGGATCATAAATTTAATTTTCAAAATTGTAATATTTAAATTAATAAAATAATTTCTAAGTTTTCCGTCAGCTAGTCTTTCTAAATTTTCCAACATTATAAAAGATGTTATAAATTCTTAATAATTAGTGTTTAGAAGTTACAGTAATAGGACGTATTAGTTTTTAATTATAAATACTTAAATATATTTTTAAAATAAAATTTGTTAATGTGAAAAATAAGAGATGAACTGCATAATTATAATTTTAAAGTTAATTAATAATTTATAATTTTAAAGACTAATTTATTTATTTTGGGGTTCATTTGATTGTTATTGTATTTTTAAAAACTGATTTTTTGAACGAAAAAAAACTATATATATATGTATAATCTTAAATAAAGGACTAAATTATGATTATAATTTTAAAAATTAAATTAATTAGAATATACCATTTTATAGATATTTGCTAATTTCACAAATCAATTTCAGACATTTTTTCTAATACTAAGGATGTTTTCCTTTAAAGAAAGTGCAAAGGAAAAATTAGTTTGTGTATCTTTAATTATAAAGGATTGCCTTTTTAATCATTTTTCTGTGTCATAAGAGAATAAATAAAGTGTATGAGAAAGAAAATATATGATAAGTAATTAGTTTAAAAAAAGTAAATATATTTAGCGAGTGAAAAGAGAAAATAAAATTAAAATTAAAATTATATATTTTTTTAAATAATTATATAAAAAATATAAACATTAGCGCCGTATTTTTACTAGTACTAAGTAAAATAAAATTTAATATAATATTTTTTTTCTTATTAAGCTTGTATTTATATTAAGGAGTAAATTTTTAAGAGTAAATTATGTGAGATTTTTCGGATCGAAGAAAAAAATGAGAAATAAGAGAAATAAATAAAAAGATAATGACATTATGATTGAATAAAAAAAATAATAAAAAAAATATAAATTCATCAAAATATCTTTATAATTAAATAAAATAAATATAAATTAAAATTGTAATATAATTTAATATAAAGTAATATTATAAATATAAATTTACATATATTCTAAAATTAACTTATGATAATTTATATTTAAATTTTTTTTATAATTATAATAATTTATAAGTAATATTAAAATTATAAAAATTTGTTTTAAAAAATTATCACGATTAAATGAGATAAAGTATAATTATTGGTTAACTAAAGTATTTTTATAATTATTTGATTATATTAAGGTTTCAATAATTATTAAATAAATTATTTATAATTAATAAGGTAACTCTTAATCTTAAAAATTTAACCTAATTTTTTTTTCATAACAGTTATCTAAATTCTCTCCTTTAATAATGTCTGATTACAATAATTTTTACAATTAATTAATTATTTAATTTCTATAAATTAACATCACAAACTAATTTTTTAAATTATATAATAATGTGAACTTAAAATTAATAAATTCTACCAATATCACAAACGCATAAATATGATAAATTCTGCTGTATACTTTTAAAAAATTAATAATAATTTAAGTTTAAAATTATCATATTTACAGTAAAATCATTGATTTAGCATATATTTAATATATCAAATATAACCAAAACACACTTAAAAAAATATAATAATAGAAGTACATATTATTTTATCGATTATTAGACACATAATAATTAATTATGAAAACAAATATAATTGTGTTGGTTGTCTAATGTATTGAATTACCTAGATCTTCTTTACAAAATTATTGTCGCAGATCTTGACCATTGATTTTAGGATCAAATAATATATTATTAATAAATAATAAATAAATATAAAAAGAAGAAAAAAGATGAAAGGGTGAAAATATAAAATTTTTTATATATATACTTAAATATATTAAATGATCATTAAGTTTGAGAGTTACAAAACTGACTAGGGATTGAGAGGATAAAATTATAAATATAAAAGTAAATATATTAAATGTTCATTATGTTTGAGAGACCAAAATTATAAATTACATTGGAATTATAAAACTTTGGAGGTCACAACCCCTCAAATCTTAAGAAGATCCGAGAAGAGAAAATGTTTTCTTGATTTATTTTTGTTCACGTTTTTTGTACGATAAGTCAAACTTATTCATCTTCCAAAATAACAATATTATATAAACTCCCTTATTTCTTTACACATATAGTTGAACAATTCAAAGGAAAACTAAAAAGAAAATAGTGAAAGTTATTTAAAACATATATATTTCTAAAATTGGCTCATTTTTTTTCTTACATAGTCATTGTTTATAAAACTGACAATTTTATTTTTCTTTGTAACAATAAGACAATTTAGCAAGACTGTTTTAGCGAGGAAAACAAAAACTTCATCAAGTATTATGACCAACTTGTATGAGTAATAGCTTTAATTTTAGTGCAGAAAATTTCTGAAAAATATAAATTATTTTACAAAAATTTATGAGGCTAAAAGAAAGAGGATTGGTTGTATGGCCTGTACAACAAACATGATAGTTCGTCCTTCTTTCTTTTTGTAAGGCAAAGATGAGACAGCAAAATATTTTGCTAGCACTAACGACAAAATCTATTTTCTAAAATATCTTTTCAAATTAGTATGAATTATTATTATTATTTTATATATATATATATATATATATATATATATATATATATATAATAATAATAATAATAATAAAACCTCAGTTCCTAAGCTATAAGAAAGTGAAGCGTGTAAAGAGTTTTGGTTACAAAAGCATTCAGTGCATGCAAACACGTCCATATCAGACTTGGGCAACCCCAAAGTCTTGTAGTTGGTAAGAAGGAAGTCCACTTTTCATTTCAACCACCCCTTATGCATCCACTCAACCATGATATCATGCAATGAGTTCCTTATAAATACATTATTTTTATTTTTATTTTACAATACATTTTATTTTAAATAAAAATTATTTTATATAAATAATTCTCATATAACTCTGAATCTGAAATTTATATTAAAATATTATGTTTTATTTAAAAAAAATTAAAAGATTACATTGAAAATGTTCTTACAAATGTAATTCTGTAAAAGTTCTATTTTAATGTTTATAATTAATAACAATAATTTTTAGATTTTTAAATATTAATAATGTTAAATAATTTTTAAATATATTAAATTATTGAAAAAAAGATTAAATGTGATGATGAATAAAATTTTAATAAATTATAAAAAAAATTGATATCTTGATGATTGGTATGGATAAATTATTCCACGTTCTTTAATTTCTTGTTGAAATCAAGTATAATATATTAAATACATGATTGAATACCATCGGTATCTTAGAAGATGAAACATATGATATGATTGTTATTATGTTATCAAACACATTGTATTTTTATTTTTATTTTACTTTTTAATATATATTTTATTTTTCTTCATCATATTTTCTTAATCAATGTAATTCATTCAACAAATTATTCATCATTTCAACAATACCATACTAATATTTTTTAACTATTTAATTTATTTAAAAATTATTTAACATAATTATTGTCCAAATACAAAAAAATATTTATTTTTTAATTGTAAATATTAAAATAAAACTTTTAATAATTTTAAAAAATAACAAAAATTAACTAAAATGGTCGATGAAAGAAAAATATCTTAACATGATGTACAACTTTTATATTAAACAAAAATTTGTATTTAAAATTGTATTTTAAAATACGAATTATCCATACCCAATTTTTTTTTTAAATTACCAATTTTGAGAACAGTCCTATATTATTACTATAATTATATTTCGTGACTTTTATTTATTTATATATAAACAAACAAATTAATTAATATAATAAAAAAATCTCAAAACCTTATTTTATAGAATATATACAAAATTCAAATGAAAAATGATCCAGATCCTAAATTTAAAAAATATTTTTTTATGTATAAATTTTATCTTCATCGCTTGTTACCGATCTTATTCTCTCTTACTTAATTAAATGATTAATTACAATATTTAAACTATTATTATTATTCACATAAAAAAAAATAGTCCACGTGTCAAATTATAGAGAAGAGTTATTTTTATAAATATAAATGGTTAGCATTATCACATAATTAAATTTGTTTCTTAAAATCTATTTTTAGATATTATATAATATTTAAATAGTCATTTTAATTCTTGTTGAACCAAAACCATTTGGTTATATAGTTCAGCTCACATGAATCAATAAAATTGAATTCAATTTGCTACACTGTCTCTATAAATACTATTATTGAACATTTCATTCCTAGTATTTTTATGTGATCACTATTAAATTACATTTTTCATAAAAATATTTATCTCAATTTTTATTCTCACAATTCACAATTAATTAAAGGACTAATGTAAACCCCCGATAATTAATTTGAATAATTTTTCAC